ATTTAGAGAATTCTACTCGGAGTACAGAATATGTAATTACTATTCTACGTCAGCCTATCCCCAATGTAATGGACAGGCTGAGGTGTCCAAAAAAACCGTGCTGGTGGGAATCAAGAAGAGACTTGAGGCTACAAAAGAAAGATGGACCGAGGAGTTACTTAACATATTGTGGGCGTACAGGACCACGCCGAGGACCTCGACGGGAGAAACCCCATACGCCTTGACATATGGGATCGAGGTTGTCATCCCCTTGGAGATGGGGCTCCCAACAATACGGAGTCGAGCCTTCGAATTGGGAAACAATAATCAAACTCTCGCTAGGGATCTCGATTTAGCCGAGTAAAGGAGGTCATCGGCATCCATCAGGCTGGCGAGGTACCAAGGGAAATTGTCACGGCAGCACCGGAAGAAGGTTCGAACGAGAGATTTTCAAGTAAAAAATTTGGTACTACGAAAAGTGGTGGACAATACGCGCGAGCCTACTGATAGGAAACTAGGTCCCAATTAGGAGGGCCCTTATAAGGTGATCTCTGTGGGGGGCACAGACATATATCGATTGTAAAATATGAATGGTGACGATGTAATCCAGCCATGGAATGTATTAAATTTAAAAAAATACTACAACTAATTCAGGTTTCAGTATTCATGGTTGCATTAACATGAGTCAGACCCTCGATCGTTAGGGGTACGGCCCCAAGGGGTGTAAGACACCACCTTTGGAGTAACGCCTTCAAATTATTAACACGAGTCAGACGCTCGGTCGTTAGGGGTACGGCCCCAAGAGGTGTAAGACTCCATCCTTGGAGCAACGCCTTCAAATTATTAACACGAGCCAAACGCTCGGTCGTTAGGGGTATGACCTTGAGGGGTGTAAGATTCCACCCTTGGAGCAACGCCTTCAAATTACTAACACGAGCCAGGCGCTCGGTCGTTAGGAGTACATCCCCAAGGGGTGTAAGACTCCATCCTTGGAGCAACATTTTTAAATTACTAACACGAGTCAGGTGCTCGACCGTTAGGGGTACGGCCCCGAGGGGTGTAAGACTCCTCCATTGGAGCAACGCCTTCAAATTACTAACACGAGCTAGCTAGGCGCTCAGTCGTTAGGGGTACGACTCTGAGGGGTGTAAGACTCCACCCCCATATATACTCGGTCCCGAGGGGTCCAAAGACAACAACAAGTTCGATGAGTCTACTTTTATAAATTCGAAGTGAAGCCTTGCTACTTCAGAAGGTTCTTATTGACATAATGTCAAGGCCATTTTCTTGAAACACCACTAATGCAGGAAAGAAAAGACACATGTAGAAAAATAAAGTTCATTGTGATCAAAAAAGGGCTTTGTGTCCCCAAGCATACAAACAGTAACTAAATTCTGTACAAAGAAGAGCTACAAAACAAATACAGGACATAGAAGTGACAAGCCACCAGCTGCTAAGGCCCTCAGCTCATTCCTTCCCGACTCTTCCCCCGTCGAGGCCTCCACACTGCCTTTGTTGCTCGTCTTCAACCCCCAATATTTCATCTAGCTCGGTATCATGCACTTCAGTAATGATTGGGGGCAGAGGGGGAAGATCATCTGTTGGCTCGGCAGGTGGGAAAGACCAAAGGACAAGAGAAGGCTGGTCAGAACCGTCGCTGAGTGTGATGAGATTGTTCCCACCTTTGGCCCCGACCTGCCCTTCTGCCTCCACGTGGTCACCTAGGTCGGATTGGACCTATTCGTCCAGGGTTTTGTCATCGGCCTCCCTTCGAAGGCTGTGCATGGCGAACAAGTTCGAGCCTACCTCGACGTGGCAGGCATGAAGGGCGGTGTTCTAACCTTCTTTGAAAGCCTTCTTCTTGGCTTCCTCAAAAGCAGGGACCATTTGGTCTTGAGTGGCCGCCTCACCCTCTGACATTTCGATTGCAGTCTTTCCTGCTCCCCCGTCTTCTCTGTTGTCAAGGAGTCCACTTTGGCAGTAAGAGCATTAATTACAGACTCAGACTCCTACAGCTTGGCTTCGGAGGAGGACACTTGCAATTTGTACTCCTCGGCCTTCTTTATCATCGCAACTTCACCCGCCTTGGTCTTTATCAGCTTGACATGAACCGCATCTTGGTGGCAGATGAGCTCGGCGATGTGCTTGGTTTGGTCGTCGAGGGTCCTCTCGACCTTAAGGATGTGGTCGTCCTTAGCAGCTACGGCTCGCTCGACGTTCTTCGCCTCTTGTTTATATTTCCAAAAACATTCGATTATAGCCCCCACTTGTTGGCTGGCCTGGAAAAGGAGAAATATTATGAAACAACCAAAAGGGTGCGAGGAATACTCAGAAAAGTGTTAAACTTACGACCATATTATTTTAGATAATGCTCATCAGAAGTCGATTGTTTGAGTAACCTTTGTACACGGCCATATCGACATCAAATTGAAGTGTCCCCGTGATGGCAAATGCCATTTCGGGGGACTGGAGGATCGAGTCGGCTTCCAAAACAGGACAGTTGCTCCTGGTCTCAGCCCAAGGGACCCACTCACCCGAGATAGACGAGCCCGGGGCCGGGGCATTATGTTGCCGCTTAACACAGCGCTCCTCAGATTGTTCGACGTCCTGGGCACGCTTGTCCCTCAATCGGTCTCCCGAAGCGGAGACTTGTTGAGATTGGGGCCTTTGTTTGGTCGGCATGGCCGGGTCCCTGGATGGTTGCGTATGCAGCGGCGGCGGGGGCAGTTGCCTTCGACGAAAACTAGGTGGGGGGATAATGGGGGCAATGTTGGAAGGCCTGACCAGCCCAGCGAGCCTGACTCTCCTTGCTCCAGCGGCGACCTCCATTTTAGCAGCGGTGACTAGTGACGGATTAAACATGTCAGGCGCAAGGGGCTTAGGAGCGTGATGATCAGACTCTTCTTCGGAATCTCCCTCGGATTCTTCCTCTTCCGACGAGGAATGGTCTTCCTAAACAGAAGGGTTGAAAGGAGGTGGGATCTGGGAGAATTGGCTGTAAGTCGGCGTGTAGCCAAGAAGAGTATGTGTCGCTCGCTCAACTAGGTCCGAGGACCAAACCCTTAGCTGGTCGATAAATCAGACTTGGGACCTCAACGGTTGAGCCGCGTCTCGGCAATATCCTTCTGCAAAAGCAAAGCAAAATCAGTGTGTCCCTCGGACCCAAAAATAGCAAAATCAAAAAGTCAGAAAAAAAAATACACCTTCATCCCTTGGCACTTTGGGGTAGTACAATCCGTCATACTCGGCCCCGGTCCCTTTCTCCCAACTTCTGTCGAGCATGATCAGATCGTCTACATACCCCTTGTTTGAGTCGGGCATATGGGTTACCAGATACATTGAGGTGTCTTGAGCCTGGAGGTAATATCGCCCCCCGACGACTAGCCTCAAGTCGTAGCAGAATAAAATTTTATCTACTTCTAAGTTGGTCCCCAGCCGAGTGTTTAAGGCGACTATGCCCATCACAATCCTAAAGAAGTTAAACCCACATTGAAGGGGAAAGAGCTTTAGTTGCATCAACACTCCTAGTAACAGGGGATGGAGGGGGAAGGTCAACCCTCCCTCCATGATGGCCTTCGTCCAGAAAGGCATCATGTCCACATTTCCCATATCCCTCCTATGGTGAGTGGGGTTGAAGGGGAAAGCGAAGATAGGCTCACAGATGTGGTACCTAACCCTAAAGGCTTGAATATTCTCATCGGTCACTTGGGTTCTCCTCATCTTGTGGGTAGTCTTAGCCCTAACAAACGTCTCCCCCTGGTTCTACTAGTTTTAGTCATTGGTGAGCGCTAAAAGGACGAAATGTAGCGAAAATGAAGAGAGAAAAAGCTCAAGTGAAAGTACTTACAGGAAGGTGATCTTCAAAGAGAGAGCTCGGAGGACGAAGGAAACTTGGAGGAGAACAGAGGAGCACTCGGGGTCTGATTGCTGAAGAGAGGTTGATGATGCAAAAGTTCTGAGAATGTATGAAAACCTTCTATTTATACTGTCTCATAGGGAGCGGGAATCGAAAAGTTGGATCATCATTAGGGCGTTTGAAAAGGGCGGCACCAGACATACAAGTAACCATCGCTATTAATAAGGCGTGATGAGGGAACCCCCAATCCTTTTACGCCACTTGTCTTACACTACAAAAAGGATGGTGGCTGGGGGACTGTTGGTGGGACTCTAAGTGGCTCTACAGCCCCAGGGTCGACACATGGAATAATGAAGCCGTTGGGATGTCCAAAGGGCGCCAAGGAAGTAAGTCAAGGTATGGTGACACTGAGCAGCCGGGTACAATAGCTGACATCGTATTTAATGCGATGTGACCCCTCATTTATGACGAAATGAGTGAAAGTGACAAAACAAATAAATGATAGTCTGCCAGCACCTGCCCTCTAGGAGTTTAAGCCTACTGTCATGATGACTAAGTATTAATGGCTGATGTGCCGAGATGACGCGATCGGCTCCCCTGAAGAACTGTTTCCCCCGAGTATTCAATACTTAGTTAATGTCGGATACTAATTTGGGAGATTTGGGTACTCGGGGAATGGCATGAATGCTCGGCATTTGACCGAACATTTACCCCATTTTCCTAGCATTCAATAGAAAGAGACGTGAATAGAAAACACTCATTGAATGAGGAATGGTGTGCTAGATATAAGATGTTCAGATGAGACTGGAGATTTTTGACAATCATTGCTAATTCAGGTATAAATACTCCTAAAAAAAATGGACAAATGTATGCAAATTTGAATTAGAAAAATAGTCTATTGAGCAAAACCCTTTGACTTTATACTGACTTAAGATTCAAAGAAAATTAGGCCGACGCTCGTCTGACTCCTTTTTTTTTAACCCTATTATTTCAGATTCGTCAATTTAAAGATCGATGTCTCGTACTATTGCGCGAATCATCCGTGCACATATCATTGTGCTTTTCTGGCTCCGGATTCTAAGCTATTTGACTGATCAGATGCCACTTTGTTTCTTTTACCCATTTGTAACTAACCATCAACTGCAGTCGGAGAGCTTTCAATGAGCTAGTTTTTGAACACCTCTGTGATGGATCCCAAAAGTAACTCTAAATTCTGCGTGGTTGTGGTTGTGGTTGTGGTGTGTGGCATGAGTGATGGGTGCTGTGGTGGTGTGGGTCCGCAGTGGAATAGGGGAAGGGGGTCGGTGGTGGTAGAGGGGGCGATAGGGTGGTGGGTCGGTGGTGGCTGAGGAGTCGGTAGCTGACCTTCAAACCGGCTTCTTCCATCACGTCTTCTAGACGGCTTTTGTATTTCTCCGGCATAGCCTTTACGAAAACTTCCATTAACTCCGGCGAAATGCCGAAAAACACATGCCTTTCCGGGATCGACTAGGAAAAAAAAAAGTCGGGAAAAGTTGGGGCGCAGCTGTTGATGCAGCGGAATAAGACGTTACGATTCTAGACCATCTCTAATGGAAGCCAAAACCCTATTGGAATGCATAATTTCGATGTTATTTGGTAGTTTCATACAGAAAATCGAAGATATAAGCTATGCCATAGTCGCCAAATTATTGACACCAGGGAACTGAAATTGAAATTACTGTTTAGCAAGTAATCCAATCACAATGAAATAGAGAAGATGTTTCTTTGGGTTGTGGTGGGTCTAAATTGGAATAAGATTTTCAGAACATTTCTGTATGCTTTCTGTGTCTTCAAAAGTGGAATCTGTTTGAATAAATCAACATTGATTTACAGCTAAAATGTCAGGTTCTATGTGCTGATTGACCATGATTAACAAGATGATGATCCAACATGTCTAAAAAACCATTCATGTTCTCTAAGGCTGCAAAGAAATATATGAACAGGCTTAACTAGCAAGTGATCACTTCCCCTGATTTTTCAACTAATACATTGCAAGTGACAGGATCATAATTTTATCCGAAAAATATAATAGAGTACATACAATGATCACCCAAATCATCCAGTGAACCTTAAAAAATATTTTCATCATCGGCTGTATTTGTATAGAGTGGTTTAGATATTCATTGTGTTTCACCTGATTCACCTGGCATTTACATGTCCAAGGAATGAATTATTCATCGACCTTCTAACTGAGAATTGGTCACCTCATTCATTGACCAAGTTTTTCCAGACACTGAAGATTCAGCCTCAACATGGCTTCTCTCTGTATAAAAACCAGGTTGCATAGGTTGAGGCAGCATTGCACTCTCGCTATCCAACATTCGGACCACACATGACATAGTTGGCCTGTCTTTGGGGAGCTGCTGCACACACAAAAGGCCAACTTGTATGCATCTCGATATTTCTGACATTGGAAGGGAATCCTCCATAAGGGGATCTATTAGCTCATGTGCTCTTCCTTCAGTCCATAGTTTCCATGCCTGTAATAGCAATATGAGGTGTGAACACTGTACAAGAATAAAGAGGAAGAAGATGAATAGCCTAAACTAAGCACTTACATGCCCAAGAAGATTAAAATCATGGTCGGGATGATAAAATTGGCTGTTTCTTTTGCCACTCACTATTTCCAACACTAAGACTCCGAAGCTAAAGACATCTGACTTCATCGAAAAGATCCCATCAATTGTATACTCTGGAGACATATAACCGCTGCATTCCATCATCAAAGACATGAAGTCAGTAAAAATTGGACTTGAGCAGGCAGTAAGAAAAACAGTTTTGTGTGCTTACTAAGTTCCAACCACCCTTCTGGTTCTTTCTGCTGATTGATCTCCTCCGAATGCTCTAGCCATGCCGAAATCTGAAATTTTAGGATTCATCTCGCTGTCTAGCAGCACATTGCTGGCTTTGAGATCCCTATGAATAATTTTTAGTCTCGAGTCACGATGAAGATAAAGAAGCCCTCGAGCAATTCCGACAATAATATGAAAGCGCCTCCTCCATACAAGAAGATTATTTCTTGCTGCATATTGACCACCTTTGAATCACATTAACAGAGGTCATTTAGTCTATTAAATTCTGGTGTCATATATCAGTGGGTTGTTACAACTTATTTGACCAGTACATTTCCCTTTTCATGTCTAATATAAGACATAATAATAAATAAACTACAAGAAGGGTTGAGAGGACAAACCAAAAATAAATAAGTCCAGGCTCCCATTAGGCATGTACTCGTAAATTAGCATTCTCTCAATTCCTTGGATGCAACAACCCAAAAGCCTAACTAGATTTCGATGCTGAAGTTTCACGATCAACATGACCTCATTTTTGAATTCATTGAGCCCTTGTCGAGAATTCTCTGAGAGTCTTTTCACTGCTATTTCTTGTCCAGTTGATAGCATACCCTACACTTTCAACCATCACAGTAAGTATGTGATTCTTCTCTCTCTCTCTCTTTTTTTTTTTTTTGTGATGTTCCATCAATAGTTCTCTGTTAAGAAATTACCTTGTAAACAGGTCCAAAACCTCCCTCTCCTATCTTGTTTGTATGAGAAAAATTATTAGTTGCTTCCGCAATAATGACAATATGGAAGATAGGTAAGTCTAGGTTTTCATGATCTCCTACTTGAGTGTCCTGTATTGGTGGCACTGTACCATAAAGCACAGAAAAACTGAAGAATCAAGCATTGGGAACATATAGTTAACATGCCTTTTGGACGTATGTAGAATCTCAATTCAAACTTGAACAAGTTTTTTTTTGGGTAAGTAAATATGTTAATTAATCTTTGTAAAATGTTGTCTTTTGGCTATCATATGACAACTGAAACAAATGGAAACAACTTTTTTTTTTTATTAGAAACAAAACTGTGATTAACAGATAAAGAATTACATAGTCCAATTGAAATTGGACAAGTCATCTAACGTTAAACACTCAACACACAAAAAAAAAAAATGCAAGCTGCAGTCTTTCAACCCAAAACTAGCTTGGATTATATCCGGTCCAAAATGAAGATAAGAAGTATATCCGGTCCCACATCCCTTCCAACATGTCTTCTCTAACTCAAAAAATTCCTAAATTTCTTTTTAATCAAATAACTTGAACTATACCTTCCAAAAAAAAAATGACCCAAACAACTGCAAGGAAAGAACATAGCCAAGGAATAACACACATTCCTCCACCACCCAAACCTTTGAAATAGAGTCAACTTCAAAAAATGTTTTGGGCTGTCTTTGAATTCTACATAACGCAAAGGTCAACCTTCAATTGCATAGTACTACTCCTACTACTGTCTTGTTTGCTTAGTTTACCTACTTGTAATGAATAGTTGTACTTACTTTCAGCGTTTGGGGTGTAATTTGGGTGGGCCAATCGAAATTTAACCTGAATCCAACCGAAAAAACACAGGTTTGAGTTAGAATTTTTAATACTTGGGTTGAGCTGAGCAAACAAATTCTATCCCGAATTGAATTTTGGCAAGCCTCGGGTTCAACCCGAATATACATAAATATATAAATATATTTAATTATAGTTAGTATTTATCTTCACTCTTCAGAATCCAAACTTTTACTTCATTTCAAATTTTCACCTCTGCGCTTCCATCACTCTCAGATTCCTCTCTCACTCATCACTCCTCCCTTTCTCACTCTCTTTTTCTTCATCTGCGTCTCGCATTTCATCTCAGATCACTTGAAAAAAATCAGATCTATATTTAAAAAAATCAAATCTACATTTAAAAAAATCAACCTAAATTAAGTAACCCAAACCTAATCCAATTTTTAACTCGAATTCAACTTGAGTCTGTCGAATTAAACTCGGATAGTACTTGAGTTGATTATCTTAGGTTGAGGTAGGGTTAGGGTTAAGAATAAGGTTTAAAGATTATATACTTAGAATTGAGTTAAAACTGACCTCTTAACCCGCCCAACTCACTCGAGTTGCAACCCTATTTAGTAGAGCAATCTAAAAATGACAGTGCCCCATTCGATTCTCATGCATGACCACTTCAAATTCTTTTTTCTTTCTTAGAAAATTTGATCATCTAAATGATAAGTTTAAGGTCAGAAGTACTTCAGCCATATTTCCGCAATTGGAAGTCGGTGGGAAAAGCTTGTCATTTCAATGGCCACTGTTGGTAACTGACAATAATTGACTTACAGATGGGTTCATGGCTGCCTTATCTGTATCTCAGCATAAAACACCAAGATTTGACCAAGTCGAAAGCTCCCTCAATTTGTTATAGACACAGTGAAGGAGCACTCTTGCAACAATGACTTGGTCAATGCATCAATACTTTATGGAGGATATTGTGGAACTTCCATTACATCAGTCAAAGCAGAATATTAACCAAATATTGCCAATTGGGAAGGTTTAATTATTGTACTTTGGGACAGTTACATATCACCTCCCTCAGCTATGATTTATGACACTAAACCAATGAATTGTTTTACTTTTTACTTTTGTAACAAGTTGAAGGAGATTTATCTCACAAACATAGTTGACGTAGATGAAAGTGTAACCGCCCCTTATATAAATAGGTATTGTGTAATTCCCCCATTGTAAAATAACAAACTACCAGTAATGGCTATTAAACAATATTGAACTATGGGATAAATTATTTCTCTCACTTCTTGGGCATTTTAATTTAATTATCGTTTTACATTTGACCACCAGTCAACAAGATGACAAAATGCACAATTGGGTGAGTATGCACCCAGTTTGATAAACCATGATTGAGATAGTACTACTTGCTGGGATTGGCTTACCATGGGGACTTGACAAAGTATTCACCTGCATTCGTAGTAGCCAACTCAATAAATAAGATCAAATTTACCTCGAGCTGAGATCTTCTTGCAAATGACACATGAGGCAATGACAAGCACCACTGCAATTGGTGCACTGATCATCAGGACTACCACCACCACTGCCATCTTCTTTTTCTTTTTGGAAACTGATGTTGAGACAGAAAAAGCAAAACCAAGTCACAAAATCAATTTTAACAAGTCAAGAGGTTCAGCCAAAGTACCTTATGTACATTAAACAGAACCAAACACAGGTACCTAGGTCTGAAGCTGCAACCCGAATATAAAGTTTCGGGCTAACATATTGTGTCAGTTTCCTGATATCAATGAGATCCTCAAACCAAAGCAAGCAACCAGTCCCCCCTCCAGTAATAGCTGAATTAGCATACGCAGTGCAAGAACAATTCTTTAAACATTCCAATCTACATTCCTCAAGGGACATATTGGGGTTAACCCAAAACTTCAACAAATCGGGCATTTTCACACTTTCAAGCTCTATAAATCCTTCTCCTGGGAGACAATTCAATGGGTTTTTCCGAATGCACCCACCAGACCAAATAAGCATACCCCAATCTCGTGAAATTTTAGGCATATATCCTGTCAAACAGCTGCAAATCTGAGAATCACTAACCGTACAAATAGCATTAGGACCACACTGGCCATATTTATCACATTCGTCGCGGGGCACAGAACTCATGACATGCCATTCATGGTAACTACTGTCCCATACAAGACGTTGAAGTCCACTGGAGTAGCTCAGCTGTGCGATTGTTGGAATGGATTCGTTGGAGATACTAAATTCATAATACAACTCTTGTGGATTACTGATGATCTTGGGAATGAAGACAGCAGTGGGTGAAACTGACATCCCATTAAATTCCACTCCATCCAACGGCCCGGACCGGAACAGCTTTACAGAACCGTTGTGAAAGACTATTTGTGGTAGTCCTTGAAGATCTATTCCGTAAGAGAAATCTCCAGGAGAAGGATCATCTGCACTCTTCCACGATGTAAGGTACCGATTCAAACCGATCCTCAAGTCCCATCCCAACTTCATGCCTGCTATCAAGGTAGCACAAGGATGATCAAAGCTTTGCCAAACATAACTCTCATTGCTTCTATTCCTCTCATTTCTCAAAACAAGATTTCCTGTGTCCAAGAGTTGTGCAACAATATTTCTTGATGATAACTTCCGAGTATTTGTTGACCAGGCTACTCTTCCTGTTTGGTCAAGAAGAACCAAATTTCCATCATTTTCTATCCTAAGAACCCCTGATGAATCATTAAGCGGGTTATTTCTGTTTGCTACCCAAACAATGGTTTGGATTGGGATGTTGTTGTACCATATCCCCAAGTACCTTCTCTTGGAATTTCTGGGACTGAAGAAGCCAAGCTGGAACTGCTTTCTGGCAGAGACTAAGGTTCCATTATCGATATCACTCATTGACTGGAATTGAATTAACGTGTTAGTTGCCATGGAGATTTCACTGTAAGACAAGGTTACCACAAATATGTAACAAAAGATAGGAAGTATATGAATCCTCATCCGAATAGAAACCTATGTTGCTTTGCTTTAAAAGCAAAGCATTTCAGTCCTCCATTGCCTCTTCAAATGGACAAAAATACACTAGTCTAGTCAAAATAACTAATAAATAAACATGAGAAACAAGAACAGAATTCTGAACGGCAGCATAGAGGAAGTGGTGCAGGAATGTATAAAGTAATAACAAAAAGATTTAGTTTGAAAGGGAAGAGGAATATAACAGGCATAAAAGAGTTTTTCCGTCTGGTTCTGAGTAGCGTTGACCTTTGATTGTTCAAATGTTCATGTTGCAGCAAGAGAAGGAAGACTTGACAATGTTTGATGGATTAAATACATAGAAAACCAAGGTATCATAACAATCTATTCTTCAAAGCAATGAAATTGTATAGTGCCTTAGTCAACTTTGGATAACAGGAACAATATGTCAATTGGTTGATAAATGATTGTTAGTAACAGATAACCAATTCTACATGACATTAAGCCTGCTGGCACATTATTCTAAGGCCACCACCATGAGTCAATGAAGTCAAGTACCAGTTCTAAGCATATTAATTGTAAATCACATCCAACATTAAGCCTGCTGACTCAGTATTATAAGAATAGTCAAATCTCTGCCAAAGGGACCTTCAAAAATTACAATTAGTCTAGCTCTTAAAACCAGGTCTGCTGAGTTTAAGATGTCCACAATACCAATATATGATGATGCTTCCAGTCATCTGGAGCTCACGAAACTATTATGCATTGTCAATAAGGATAGGCTCTTCTGTTTTGTCTATCTTCAGAACAACAGAATAAGTTCATCATTAAGCAGGACGCTCCCATTTGCAGCCCAAGGAATGGTTTGAAGTGGGATGTTGTTGTACCTTACTACTTCAAGTGGCGGCCATTGGAACTTCTGGTACTGAACAAGCCCACCGGGCGCATATCTTCAGCAAGTAATAAGGTCATGAGATGATTTCTGCAGAAACAATTCAACACTTAATAGAAAACGCTTCACACAAATTCAAATTCCCATGCTTAAGAAGTTGCTACCCAAAGACATTAAAAAATAGGTAGGAAGCAATTTTGTGATTTAAGGTTCAGTTTGTATCAATTGATACAGATTACAGCGTTGGTAGCTATATCCTGTTTCCTCCTCGGCACAAGAGGGATAGAATCAGAAGCATTTCTACCATTCCTAATATACATCATGTGACCTTCCAATCAGCATAAGGAAGAACTTTGTGAAATACAAAACATAAAGGGGGATTTACTTGGATAGTACATTTGAATATTGCGAGGTGGTGGTCATTAGAAGCTTTGTCTCGTAAAAGAACCTTGCTGCACAAGTAAAGCTTTTTTTTTTTGTTGGTAACACCATATAATTTCCTTCCAATTAAAGACAAAATATGATAAGATTACATGTGCTAGTGAAATTATTTTGCTCTACCAGAACTACGAGTAGAAATTCATAGAAAAAGCTTTACAATTATAGAGCTGCAAAAGCTTTGCAAAAGAAATTTTACAAAATTGCAATACACTTCTTGGCAGTGGATGCTTAAGTTTGTTAGAGTCATTTACTTTAAGATACAAGGCTTTCACCAGGTGATGAGCTCACTTTTTTTCCTTCACAGAAAAAAATTTTACAAGAAGGGGATGACACTTTCTATCTACCATGTAACACTGTTATTGTTACTTCATTTGAAGCACACGGATCTATCCCCGTTGACGAAGTATCGGTTTCAATAGGAAATCTTTCTGTGTAAAAACCAGGTTGCTTAGGTTGCGGCAGTAGTGGGTTCTCACTGGCCAACATCAGCAGAACCGAAGACATTGTAGGTCTATCTTCAGGGCGTTGTTGCACACACAAGAGGCCCACCTGAATGCATCTTATAACTTCTGACTCAGGTACCAGGCCATCCATGAAAGCATCCACTAACTGCACAGGCTTTCCTTCATTCCATAATTTCCATGCCTACACAATTTAAACCTATAGTTAGCACTCACCAAGTTCTTTTTGTACATACCATGGGAGACTCATATATGAGTATTTAAACCTGAGAAATTAGTTTTCTCTTTTGAACTCACATGTCCCAAAAGGTTGAGGTCGTGATCATGATGATAAAATCCTCTATTCTTCTTGCCACTTACTATTTCTAAAACCAACACACCGAAGCTAAAGACATCGGACTTCACCGAAAATAGCCCATCTATTGCATATTCGGGAGACATATAGCCACTACATGCAATGATCCAAGAAAAATGTCATGTGGCAAAACCTAGAAATAAATGTAAGCATGGGAAATACAAAACAACGCACTTACTAAGTTCCCATGACCCTTTTTGTGTTTTCCTCAGTTTGGTCACCTCCAAACGTTCTGGCCAAACCGAAGTCTGAGATTTTAGGATTCATTTCATTGTCAAGAAGAATGTTGCTTGCTTTCAAATCCCTATGAATAATTCTCAATCTTGAATCACGATGAAGGTAAAGGAGCCCACGAGCAATGCCCACTATAATGTCAAAGCGTTTTCGCCAATTAAGTGATGTACCTGTTGTTTGATCTGAACAAGTTTGCAGCAATTTAGAAGGTTTAATACAGTTCAGTCAAGTAATTTGATGGATTTAAAGGTTGAGAGAATTTAACTGAAAATGAACGAGTCCAAACTCTTGTTAGGCATGTACTCATAGATTAGCATCCTCTCTTCTCCATGGATGCAACAACCCAGAACCCTAACCAGATTCCGGTGTTGCAGTTTTGAAATCAGAATAACCTCATTCTTGAATTCTCTGAGGCCTTGGCCTGAATCATCAGAGAGTCTCTTCACTGCTATTTCTTGTCCTGTTGGGAGCACGCCCTGTGGTGTGTCAAATTTGATATTAGCCATTTGGCCTATAGAAACGTATACTTCAGATTTCAGAATCACAAAAATGAAAAGCACTGAACATCGATTACCAAGTCTGCAAATCTATTGAAGACTACCTTGTAAACAAGACCAAAACCACCTTGTCCAATTTTATTTGTGAATGAGTAGTTGTTGGTGGCAGTTGAAATGGTGGTCAAATCAAATAAAGGCAACTCTAGGTCCTCTTCCCCAATACTCTGATTGTTATCTTGTCTTGGATCATCTTGTGTCTGAGCTGTTAAAGCTGCAAAGAGATCATATAAAAACCATTAATCATAACTACTAGTAACATTCCAATAAATGGAGATTCTTCAGAAGCAAGGATTTCAAAATCATATGGACTTGAACCAGCCCTTCAATTTTATTATTTCTCATCACCTAATATGCATTGAGAAGAGCTCCTTCTAATGCCTAGAGTCGCATCATAAAATATTGACCTCTTCAATATTTCTCATCACCTAGGTTTAAAATGTGCTGTGCATTGAAAGTCTATAATTTAAACCCATCAAGCACTTCAGACACTCATCACCAAGCCATGTGGATTGGGTCACTGCATTTTCAACAAATCACCAAATGAAACAGAAAGACATGAAAGCCAATTTGATGAACACAACTAAGTGTAGACCTTGGCTAGGACTACGGACTTTAGATTCGTGTCTTTGGTTATTGTTGTAGGTTTACTCCATTTTATTCAGTGGACTTTGCAAATTCTGTTAATCAGGATTGCATATAGATACACATTATTCAAAAATATATAGTAGTTACCATATGATTATAATTTCTCTGACAATTATAAGAATAATAAGTGATTAACCATCAAAATTATTATTTTATTATATTTAATGATTGGTTAATTTCATATTATTTGTGATTAAATGTGTTGAATTCCTTGATTTTTTAGTTTGATTTTTTTTTAGTTATTTGGTTTATTTTGCAAGTAAATTGGTTGATTTAAAGTAATAATGGATAATGCAATTAAATCAATCACTAGAGGAAGAATCACATTTGATAAAGATTAAAGAGTCAATATTGAGATAGGAAGACTTGAAGATATGACAGCAATTTAATATTTCTAAGAGTCCAAGATGGAAAAAAACTCATTTAAAGTTGGATTAGGAAAGTATCCTAGAAAAATAAGGATTTAACACATTTTCAGTATTCTGGTCATAACTTTTGACTCTGATATCTGATTTACTTGATTTTTGGGGATTGAAAAGAATACTCCAAGGGCTACAAAAGTGTATTTAACGAAAATTTCGTGAATCATCCTCTAAATATGCGAAATCCAAGCTCGAAATCTGGACATATTTTGTACCCGCGCCCCAAAGATTTTATGCACGGGATTTAACCTTACAAGATTTCTCTTTGGAAAGGAATTCCTTCCAAGCGAACCTTATATCTTCTACTTATACTTAGGATTTATTTTGAGTATAAATAAGAGTTCTCATTTAGGATTTATGTAATAATTCTTTTCCCATCTTTTCTTTTCTAGTATAGTTTGTCATGTCTGGCTAAAAAGCTAAGCTACGGCTAGGAGAGAACCTCTCAATGAAGTTCGGTAATGTTATTGATTCTGAGTTTAATGATTTATGATATTTTGTTAATTTAACTTCTGATCTTATAACAAAATTTTTGCTCTGTAAAAATCTTTGAGTTGTTGTGCCATGTACATCGATTGCTTGAATTTTCCTGCGAGTAAATAACTGGTTATTCCATGCTTGAGGTAATTATCATTATTTCATAAAATAATATAATTGGATGATTATTCAGGTTCCTAAATAATCTTTTGATTATAACTTTAGGTTTTCTTTCTTGATTTGTTACATGAATCAACCGACATCTGATTCTTGTCTCAAGTTAAGATTTGAGTCTTTAATCATTATTGTATAAAATTGAGAGGGAGTACCTGATGCTCTAGTATTTTTATTATATTTTTTTAATTACTCCAATCAATATTTTCTCAACTCAACAATTTCTTAAATAAATTGTTCTTACAAGTTTGTTTTTTTTTTGTTTTGTGTCTCTTGTTTTTCCAATTCCCTGTGGTTCGACCTCGGACTTCCAAGAAATTTATTACTTTGCACAACCTGCACTTGGGTGATCAATTCTAAAGTAGTAGCAATAAGCATAGTAAATTGTGACATGGGCCTGGTATGATGAAGAAGAAACTGCAAGATATAATGTTGTTTGATAACTGCCAATGGCCAACCTACAGACTAAAAGTTATTCCAAACACATGCACATTCAGAACCAGCTTTAAGGTAGTACTATATATCAAACAAAATCAAGACAATTACAAGTGCTAAGTCCTCTCAAGAAAATTTTTGGATTAGTAATTCCCATTTCCTACTTTGAAATCCCTTTCCATTTTCACACAAGCACAGCAAACTGAAAGATTAGAATTAAACTGCGTAGCGTCATGGTCATCAAGTACAAGAACGGACATGTACTCCTAGGAACCCAAGATATTTCCAAGGTTGTAATCCTATTATCAGATTACAAAGGAAAATACCAATTTTAGACTATAGAGGACTGGGGGTATTTTCAAAAGTTCCAGGTCACAGACACTGGTAGAATTCAGTGAGGCTTTGCTTTTGATTAGTATCTTGCTTTTACACTTTTGGACATCATAGACATCATAATCATCCTCAAAAAATTGGATGAATAAGACATACAATGGAAAACTTCCTACTGTCTTCTAAGCCACTGCAAAAATATAGGATCGCTCTATTAAATCATTGACCCGAACTCCCCTGCTTTAATGACGGGTCCATTGTAGCACACTGCGAGTGCGACATGACATCCAAGGGCAAAGAATGGATCAGGGATACTGTTTTTTTTTTTTTTTCAGGCTAAAAAAGGGGTCACCATCTCAAGAGTAAGGCTTTTGAAAATGAATTATTGAGGCATGTTACTTTCGTTACTCCATTGAAAAGGTTGCCCTGGTGAAGAAGTCTTTATCCTCCAGAAGCAGTTGATTTTACAGAATATAAAATGGGTTTAAACATATATAAATCTCATTATCAGTTACCAAGCGTACAAAGCGTTCTTTTATTATTTTATTTAGACGTTTTGTCCTGTGGTTGTGAAACTTGTAGATGGCAATAATTTTGAACTTGTGGTTATATTACTGACTAATGAACCATTTGGAAACCCTTTGTTGAAGCAATTTTCCAAGCAAAAAAGCAACTTCGTCAAAAAAACAAAAAAAAAATTAACTATTATTAGGTAAAAGTTATCTACATGCATCTAAGCGCGCGTGCGCACACACACACACACATATATATATATATGTATGTATGTATGTATTTGCACTACTAATCTACCATTAAACTTAGAAAAAATGAACAAATCGGTATAAAATGTAAAACGAAAAAAAAAACTTACAAAAGACAGTATTAGTGGAAGCAATGTACAGAATGGGGTGGCTGAACCAGATGGAATAAGCTTTTTATGGTTAGGGTCAGATGAATTGTGTAGTAGAACCCATAGATGTTGAAACCTTCGAAATTTGAATGACTTTTGGACAGGTACATTAGACAAGAATGCACAACTCTAATCACCGACTAATTAACTATTGAGATATAATTGAGTACATATAAAAGTGTTGGTTTATATAATCATTGATTTTGTTCACTTAAACATTTTGTCAACCACTTGACCTGCATTAAACAAGCAACAAAAGATTTAACGCTGGGTACAAAAATTTACCTTCTTTCCTTTTAGCAATTCTCTTCCGGAGAACATACCAGCTGATTAACCCCAGTAGAATAATCCCAGAAACTACTGATACTGATGCGATCACTGCCGTTCGTTTAGACTTGTTGCTGGACCCTTTATGCACCAACCACATCAGAACACATAAGTAAGCTTAAACAACAATGATTGAAATCGATGAATTCATACGTAAGCCAGACTTACAGGTTGGAAGGAAGAAGAGGGGTCAATCATAAAGGTCTTACCAAATGCATTTAGTGGGTGTAACGCTCGCACTCACATTCGACTAAATTCTTAAAAAATTTCGATATCAAATTAGTCAACTAGAACTAGAAATTTGGGTTAAGATCGCATTTTGATTTTCGGGTTACAAATCATGGACTAGTATTCAAATTGATATTGGATTGAACTTGAATTTTATTTTCTGGGTCACATATCTCCAGTTTGAATTCGAATTCAATTTGCTAAAATCCATTCGAGCACTAAAAATCTCTATCAGATCAGATTGGATTAGACTTGGATTTTGAAATTTGCACCCCTAAGTGCAAAGGGGTCTTAGGGACATATCATATGGATCAAACATAAATAATTCAGAGAAAGCACTTACCAAGTTCAGAAGCAGCCATCCTAATATAGAGGTCTTGTCCACCCTCATTGTATACTCTGATATCAAGTAAATCACCAAACCATACCACACACCCACTAACCTCAGTCTTAGCATAAGCCACACATGAACAATTACTCAAACAAGCCTCCTTACACTCCACAGGATTCACAGCAGTTTTGTTCACCAAGAAATACGATGTATCCGGCAACTTCAACCTCGAAAACCTGCGAAACCCCTCAGGTTCTCTGCAATTCAATGGCTTTTTCCGAACACACCCACCTGACCAATCTAGTCTCTCCCAATCTTGTGGCAATCTGGGTGTGAACCCATTTGGACATTGACAAACAGGTTGATCATTAATGTTACAAATGCCATAAGGACCACAGAGATCATAGTTGTCACAGTTATCAGCTTGCAGCGTGATGATATCGATCCATTGGTTTCGCCTTTGGCTCCATGTTAGATGTTCAAGCAGTCCTGACTGGTTCACCACGAACCTTGAAATAGTAGTTCTGTCATTGTTTTCAAATGAATAGTACAAGTTGTTTGTATCAAAAGCGAAAATGGGATTGAACACTGTGTTTTGTTTAAGTTCAGGGCCACCTCCAAAACGAACACCGTCCCACGGTCCACTTCTGTAGGTCACCTGCTGTGATCCCCGTCGGAGAACTAGCTGAGGAAGCCCACGAGGGTCGATTCTGTATGTATAGTCGCCGGAAGATGGATCCTGTAAATTTTTCCATGATGTTATATACCATTCCTGGCCGGTTCTGAGGTTCCATCCAAGCTTCATTCCTGGAATCAATGTATCACATGGATGATCAAAGCTTTGCCATATGTAGCTTCCTCCTGAATTATCATCAAACTCATTTTTCACGACGAGATTGCCAGTGTCTAAGAGCTGCAAGATTGGTTTACTTGCCACTATTTTCGATGAATTTGAAGACCAGATGATGCGAGTTCGGTTGGTGGTGGTGGTGATGATCATGTTTCCTGTGGCGGTGATGGCGAGGATGCCGGAAGAATCTGGCAGTGGGTTGTTTTTGTTGGCCACCCAAAAGGGTGTTTGTTGTGGGACATTCTTGAACCATATTCCCATATAACGATCGTTTGAATTCCATGGACTGAAGAAGCCTAACTCAAAGGTTTGGCTAGCAGAGACAAGTGTTCCTCCATCATCAGAGAGAGTCTGGTTTGGAGCTAAGGAGTCGATTGCAGAGGAGAGTGGGGCGCAAGAGAGAGAAATGAAGCAGAAGACAATCAGTGGGAGGATCACCATGGATGATCTCAAGAACAAACAGCAATGTATTCTTTATTTGACTCAATAAATAACAACAGGGAGAGCTGACAACGCTTCTAACTGGTTAAGGAGGAAGAAAATTGAGGAACCAATCTTTGTAGTTATTGTACAGCACCAAACGAGCTGTCTATAGAGACCACTAGTAGAGGGTCAAAGGCTTATGGTTTGAATATGAACAAAGGTACTGCTTATTGTATGCATATCGTCAATTGAGACCTTCTTACGTAAAATTGCTTTGTCTCTTGATTATAACGCTCCGATCCATAATGTATGTGACGTAGAACAGGTAGGTAGCTGTTGATTACCTAAACCAAGAAGACCGTTGTGCGTCCGAGGCCCAAAGAAAGCTAGAAGATGATAGTAGAGATCAAATGGTTCGGACTCATAATTTATTGAGACCAATGATGTTTGATCCAGATCGAACCAATTATTAAGACTCGTCGATTAGCCATGAACTCCTTCGGTCACCGTTTAGGCCCTCAAATTTTCGTTTTTACCATTTTAAGAAAGAATTCAAAAATCTATAAAATATAAAACACACAAACTTCAATAAATTCATCAAACTGTATTAAATGACCAGCAACATCTCTCCAAGAACCGTTCACATTATATTTTCCTCCTCTCAAATCTATCACTTCTCACTTACGTTGTATCGTGCCTTCAAACATGAGTTACCTCTAGTCAATAATAAATCATCGGAGATTCTGAAATCAACACCGTCAATTTTGTTAGACTATAGACGACACATACTTTTATGTTAATTAATTAAATTATAATTTTTTATTTTTAGTAATTTTTGTATAATTAAATATTTTACCTCTATTATAAGGACGATTAGGATTTGAACCGTTCCTCTCTCTCTCTCTCTATATATATATATATATATCTCATATGTAATATGGATTATTCGGTGAATAATACACTTTTTAGAGATATTCTTTTTTTTTCTCTATGGATTCAGAGTATGTGTGTGTGTTTTATACACTTAAAATCGTAATATTTTTTATGTTCCTTTATTTCGCTGTGCCAATATGATATGTTAGTTGTGGGGTAGGCTAGGTTCGTATGACTTTAATACTTGTTGTATGATAAAAATTCAAAGTTGACACTTAGATATTATTCTGCACACACTTTCCTAGGTGAAATGGGATCCGGGTTAGCATAATTCACCCCCTTAGGTCCAAACATCCTTGTTTGGAACTCATCCAGACCGACATGATTTTATGCTGGAGGATTACTCCTACCACGTTAGTTGTGACCATCATAAGCCAACACCCCACAGGATCGTGACCTTTGTGGCCTCCTCAACTTCATAGTTATTATGTTGAGAGGGACATGGACCCCTGCAAGTCCCATTGCTTTGTCTATTTGACTTCAGTCACTTGACTCTATTTATTGTTTGACGTGGTTATGTAACATCTTGTTCTTGCAAATGTATAATATCATCGGTGCTAGGGTAGAACCACGTGGCTTTAAAATGCATAAACTAAAGATCAAAAACTCACACTACTTCACAATCACTTAACAGACAATATGCTTTTAAGCCTCCAAGCAACACTACTGTTGGTATTTATATTTAGTTCTATCACAACAAGAAGATTACTTTTTAGCGGCAAAAAATTTTGTTGTTCAAAGTGAATAATTCGTCGCTAAAAGTTTTCTGCGATGAAAAATATTGGTCACCAATTTGTCGCGGTAGCCTCACTGAGAGTTTTTGGCAACCAACTAAAGTATTGTCGTTAAAGTAGATAATTAGCTACAAAAAAATTAGTCACTTAAAAAATCATCTAATTGTCGCAAAAAAGTCTTCGTCGCTGAAAGAAATTTTATTGTGATCGTATTTTCTCTCTTTGGCGACAACATAGTATTTGTCGTTGAAAATCAAGGTACGTTTTTTGCGACCAACATATTTTCGTCGCCAAACAATAAATGAATATTTTCGCTCACAAATAATAGGCGACAAAATTTATTTGCTGGCAAAAAACTAAGAGACTTTTAGAGACCAAATTTTACTCATCACTAAAAAAATTTATTTCTACAGAGTGTTATTTTATGATTTATTTTGTCCTCGTAACAAATCAAAATATATTGGCTATTGTGCTTTAATCATTGAAGATCATTAAAAAATAAGTAATCCATAAAACAAAAACACATAATTTCCAAAAAATTTATACAAAATCCATATAAAAACATTCATATGAGAATTCGTACTAAAAAATCCGTATAGAATCTCATACAAAGATTCCATACCAAAATATCTATGTAAAACCCAAAGTGAAAAAAACTAAATTCCACAATATCTAAATGTCACAAGAATTCAAAACAACTTAAATCATAAAGGAACAGATCTCATCGCTAAAACCAACTAAAAGTAATTCATTATCAATCTGCATCAAGTAATTAATTGTAAATCTGCATCGGCCTTCAATCTATAGATTCTGACTATTTTTTCAGGTGATTGGTTACAAATTCACTTTCACATGCTAGTAGGACCACACAGGTTTGATCCAAAAGATTTGAAACTTGCTTCAATGGAGAAATCCTATAAGGAACCGACACGATGAAGATTGAACTCTAAAAATTAACATGCCAAATATTCAGTCCAGGCATATTATGATATCTAATGAGTATGTTCTGATTTCTTAATTAGCTAACAAAATCCTTGAGTATTTGTAGCATCACAACTTGAAAACATGATTGACATTTAATAGTTCTCCTGCAGGAGCTCAGTGAGACTGCTTCCAGCAGTATAATGCTTTGAAGGAACAGATGAATCCCAACTGAAGGACAAATAGAAATAAGCATAACTAACTATAATGGTCTACCAGATTATTCTCACTAAGCACCAAAATACTACAAGCATCTCCTACGTAACAAAGGAATTCCGTGAAGCATCTCAAAAAGCTTTATGGAAGAGGAATTCAGTGAAAAGCATAACCAGTTATCGCCCTTCTGTCGTTGATATGGTGGCCTTGTTTATCGAGCACATATTGATAAGCCCAAAATAAATTGGATCACGCCCAATGAAAGTAAATCAAGAGGGTCCATGTCATTAGTACCCAGAGGAGTCCAAGTCTAATGCACCAAGAGAAGTTCAAGTGATCAATGCCCAAAGGAGGCCACCCCAAGGGGACCCCTCCTCTCTTTTGTTCCATGCTCCCTCTCTTTCATATTGCCGCTCTTAGTTCAAGTTCAGGATCAAGTCCAATCTAGCTCAGGATCCTCTCCCGACGGAATAAGATCACGAGGAGAGAATATCAAGATACGTATTGCTACGGAGATCTTCTAATCCTACCATAATTGTAATTACCAAGATAGTAGAAACCCTCTCCTTCTCGTCACCTCCTCACCGCCTTGTTGAGCCTATATAATGTAAGCTCTTTCCACAAAGAGAGACATCTTGACAGGCCTTTAAGATCCCTATACACACTATACCTCCCTACACACATTGTTTCTCTCTCCACACCATTGTAACTCTTCTGGAGTAAAACTCTCTTAGTGACATTATTTATCAATAAAGATCTCGAATCACCGCTACCGTTCTCAAGAGTAGAGTAAGTCACTCAGACCGAACAACTATATATTTTTGTTTTGACTAATTATTTAATATTTTATCATTAATTGTCTATTTACTGCTCGTTAATTGTATCTCTTGATATACTCAACTGTTAATTTTACGTAAAATCGATTTATGCATCTTGTTGCTCTTAAATCGACGATTAGAATCCAACAAACTTTGAAAAGTGAATGCAGGTTGTTTTGGTTGTGGAAGATCTGTTTTACTGCTTAGCATGAGAACAATAGCTGACATCGTTGGCCTGTCTGTAGCATGGTTCTGGACACAAAGAAGCCCAATATGTATGCACCTCATTACTTCAGAAGGGGAACATGAAGACGCCATTGTTTGGTCCATCAGGTCTAATACCCTGCTTTCGTTCCACAACTCCCATGCCTGAAACAATTCGATATTCAAAAAGATGGAATCAAATTACTAAATCAGACTGGAAGATGACTGAATATTCGAAATGAGCATTAAGGTGGGATTGTGTACTTACATAACCCACAAGGCTTAAATATTGTTCGTGATTATGGAATCTGGTGTTCTTCAGGCCGCTAATGGTTTCTAGGAGCAAAACGCCAAAGCTAAAGGCATCAGATTTCTCAGAAAATATCCCTCCCGTGACATACTCAGGGGACATTGGTTTCTAATGAGTTTCCGTTGGTTAGATGGATGAGGTTGGTGTGAATTTATCATATAAGTCATCAAGTCACGCTATATTACGGGGTCTGGCTTTGATTGTATATTGGCAGTTGTAGAGAGAAAGGTGCAAGAGGGTTTTTTATAAGGGGCACTTGTCTGTTCATTCTGTATTTCTGAGAGCTTGTTCGATTTTGAGAATGCAGGCTGTTTGTGTTAAGCCCAGAGCTCCTGATTCTTTATCTGAGCAGGAGCTTTTGCATGCTTTAAGAGTGGATTAGTGCTGTAAGGTCAGGATCAGAACTTTTTGGGTGAACCGGTCTTTTCCTTTAGATGGTTTTTTAAAACAAAAAGTGGATGGGGCTTCTAAAGGGAATCCGGGGTTGGCAGGAGGTGGTGCTGTTGTGCGCAATCAGTGGGAACAGTTAGTCCTTGCTGCTGCCTTTTTCTATGGAGAGTGTTCAAATATGGAAGCAGAGTTTAGAGCAACGTTGGATGGTTTGCTTGTGATAGAAAAGTATGGTTTGATGGAATATAAGTTTCAGATTGAAGCAGATTCTGAAGTAATGATAAATATGCTGCAAGGTCATTACAGGGCTTGGAAATATTGGAAGGTGTTGAGGCAGATTCGGGGAGTGTTGAGCAGACTGAACTGCAGGCTGTCTCACGTGTTTAGGTAGGCCAATTCCTTAGCTGATTTTTTTTGCTAATCAGGCTGTTAACGATAGGGCTTCTTCTGATTTTTCGCATTGTGAGGCTTCCTCTCCCAACTAAGCTCTTGTTGCTGCATGATCAACAAAGAACTAAGGAGTTGAGAAGAAAGATGGTGATTTTGTAATTTGTTTTGCTTGTAGATTGCTTTGTACAAACTCTGGAATGTAGAGTTTTTCCATACTTGTATTTTTTGAGAAATGGAATAAAGTGGTGAACTTTTTTTTTTAGAAAAAAAAAAAAAAAAAGCTAGTCAACAGTCCAAGGTGAGTCACAGAGTGGACACCTGTTTTTTTCAATTTCTTTTTTTTTTGTCAAATCTTGGGTCTACCTGACGAGCTGCCCTCATAGGCTTCAATCAAGCCAATCTACTTAAAATAGTGGATCAAAAAATCTTGGCTCATGGTTCCCCCATTGCGTTATTGGCTGCATGGCGAACGAGCCATCATATGGTTCCCATCCTAGGACATTTGTGGAGCCTTGACACCATTATAGTTTTGTAACTCAGATCCAAAATATCATTAGTTTCTGTGTCACCTCGAGATATTCCAACCCTTCAAACCAGTTCCTTAAGCATGCACATCTAGTTTCCATCAATGGAACTGCATTTCCAGAATGATCAACAAAGGATTAATCAGTTCCAACTTTGTGATTTTCTTGTTTTGTTTTCAAGCAAAGGAACAGGTCCTCTGCTTAGTTTGAGGCCCACAATGATGCTTCCATGGGCATACATAAATTTAATTGACTTGTATCGACATTCTAATTAATCGAAGTATTGTTTTCACAGCAATACACTAATATTTAAATTCAATTCTCATTTGACCAGCTCATCATGATCTCTAAAGTCTAAACTGACTATCTTTTATGACTTTGCTTATGGATTTTTGTTTGAACACATTCTCCCCCACTTCACCACCCAAATCACATCCAAACAACCCCCAACCTAACCATATCACCACCCGTCACCACCTGAACCCAACTGCCAGAAAGTCCATGCCCACTGACACCACCACTGTCACAAAAACAAAAACAAAAACAAAATCCAAATCCAGATTTGTATGTAAGTAACCTCCTATAAATGGGGAACACTTTCTTTTCTTGTTAAATAAGGAGGGCAACTGCTTAATCCTTCTGGATACAGATAATCCACCCAATCTCATATACATCTAGTAATTACCAGGGACAAATTCTAGAGTGATTACCCTAAGGGGGCTTGAATACAAATAAATTCAATGTCGACGTAATTCTGAAAATAATAAGACTCTTAATTGTCTGGAAGATGACAGTAAATATTTAGACTCTATTAGATGATTTCCAACTATGCACAACAGACATCAATTTTTGTAGTCCTCGCACATTCTTACATTTTTTGTTATTTCCTGCATTTCAATGATATGAAAATAATGATTGACAACCAATAAGAAACAAAAGAAAGAAGAAAAATAATTGAATTTAGTACTTGAAACTAAGTATTGGACATTGAATAGTTATCTGTTCCTGCATACTTCACTTAATAAGGCCACAATCTTCAACGAAAAATTACAACACAAGGGAAAGAAAAAATTTGTCAAGAGTACATCTTATCGGCCATCAACAATTGAGATAGTGACATTGTTAATAGAACATATTTTCTCACTCTGTTGAGAAGAACCTTCAGAAGAAATCTGTCTTTCGGTAAATGCAGGTTGATTTGGGGTGGGAAGATCTGCAATTTCACTGGTAAGCATTGAAAGAACAGTAGAAATAGTTGGCCTGTCGTTTTCAGATTCTTGCACACATAGTAATCCAACATGGACGTATCTCAAGATTTCCATTCTGAAGAGTGCATCAGATATATTTGGATCTACTAAGGCGATAATATTTTCTTCATTCCACAGTTTCCATGCCTAGAGACATTTCAATAATGGATTGGTAATCTTGGAAAATTCAACCTGAACAACGATAGTGAGGAACTGTAAAATTCTGAAGAAAATGAACTTACAAATCCTAGAAGGCTCGAAGAGTGCATATCATAATAAAAACTGGTATTCTTTCTCCCACTTATAATCTCTAATATCAACACTCCGAAGCTGTAGACATCGGACTTTTCTGAGAATCTTCCCTTCATTGCATATTCAGGTGCCATATAGCCACTGTATTATATCATTTCAGCATAAAAGGTGAAATAAAACTTAAACAATATTGGATTACGAGACAAGAAGTATGGTTTATTGACAGGAAACTTAATGTAGATTGCACAAATAAATATTTACTTACTATGTTCCAACAACCCTTGTAGTATTGGCTTGATCTTGGTTGCCTCCAAAAATTCTTGCCAGCCCAAAATCTGAAATTTTTGGGTTAAGCTGTTCATCCAATAAAATATTGCTAGCTTTTAGATCTCTATGAACAATTTTTAATCTCGAATCTCTGTGAAGGTAAACAAGGCCTCGTCCAATCCCTTTGATAACGTTGGCACGTTTACTCCAGTCTAGGGGGGTTTCTTGTTTGAGTGAACCTGACAGTTTTGTTTCCAAAGGACAAGTAGAAGGTCGTAAGCTGAAGTAAATAGTGACCACTAATGGAAAAGCAATGAATTGGCATCACTACAAATGACAACAAGAGCTAACTATCATCTAACCAAAAAGAAATGCATCCAAGCTTCTATTTGGCATGTACTCATAGATCAATATCTTTTCGTCTCCTTGTACACAGCAGCCAAGGAGTCTAACAAGATTGCGGTGCTGTAGTTTGGATATCACAAGAACTTCATTCATAAATTCCTCCTGCCCTTGTCCAGAACATCTTGCAAGCCTTTTTACAGCTATTTCTTGTCCATCTGGCAATTTTCCCTGAAAATAAGCATCAAATCAATTTTATCTGGTTCACTATAGCCTAAATGCCTCAATAAACAAGCATTTACCTTGTATACTGGACCAAAACCACCTTGCCCAAGTTTATTATCAGAATGAAAGTTTTCTGTTGCATTTGCCACTTTCTGAAAACTATATAATGGCAGCACTTCGAGTTTAATTTGATTGGCACTCCCCTGAAGCCTGGTTTCAGTTGGATACTCTGGATATACTTCTGCTTTCTCAAATAATGGTCTCAAAACCTTTTGCTTCCTTCCTGATACAAAACTAATTGTAAGTACTTTGTCCCTTATGAATATTTCAGGATACATATGAGCAATGAACATATTACTTCTTTGTTTCATTATCCACCTCCAAGAAAAGTACGCACAGATGGCAATGGTTACTGACCCTATACTTATGGTAGTTGCCAGAACTGTCTTTATGTTTTTCTCTTCATCTGACAAACAGAGCAAACTTTAGTAGCGTACAGCTAAAATGAACAAAAGAATTAATGCAGAACTACTTTAGAACCAGATTGATAGTTTGTTGCAAACAACTTTCACAGATCTTTCTTTTTTGGTGTGTCCAAAAAATAAACTGAAGGATTTGGTAACGAATCAATGTGCAAGGACTCAAATCTAGTTCGAAATATAATTATTCTGAGCAAATAAACAAACAATAAATGGAAAAGAGGATAAGTAGAAGCATATGTATCATGAACAGCAAGATGATAGGGAAGACAAAGCATGTTACCAAGCTCTGAGTATGCCACTCGAATGTAAAGATCCGCCCCACCCTGGGGGAATTTCTGTATGTCAATAAGGCTTCCACTCCATTGCATACAGCCAATGCCAGAGTAGTATGAATAAGCCATACAGGAGCAATTACTCAGGCAAAGGCTTCTACAATTGTCTTCTAGAGCAGGTGACCATTCCGCGAAGTCTGGCACTTTCTTTGTCTCGAGCTTTAAAAATCCATCTTCTTTGCCCTCTTCATTGACAGTATTGTTTCCACATTGCAACAATGTCTTTCTTATGCATCCACTGGTCCAATTTCCTTTGCTCCATTCCTCCTTGTCCTTTGGCTCAAATCCCCTCAAACAGGTGCAGACTGGTGAATCTAGTGAGTTACAGCTTCCAAATTGCCCACACTTGCCATAAACATCACACTCATTTTCTAGCGTCGACCATGTTACTTCCCAATCTTCCTTCCCAGCAACCCAATACTTCTCTAGTATAGTTCCTTCAGAATTCAAGGCATAGTATACTACAGTGGACTCATTTGCATAAGTAAAAGCAAGATACACCGATCCTTCTTTATCGTTTACAAGATTAAATCCATTGAGATAAAAAGTATACATTCTTGGAATTCCAATAAAAATCTGACCATTCCAAGGACCACTACGCCAATATGGATGACTACCATTCCGTAAAAAAAACTGGGGGATGTTCAGAGTATCAACGCCAGCGGAGAAGGTTCCACTCGATGGATTTGAAGGACTTTTCCATGACGTAAGCAGATTTCTCTCACCAGTCTTTGCATCATAACCAATCCTCATTCTCTGTAAGAATGAGTCGGAAGGATCTTGAAAACTCTCCCATACGGTCCTTCCACTGAAATTGTCTCGCAAGACAAGGTTCCCAGTATCCAAAAGCTGTGCACTTGAATTTGCGACAGGATTTGAAACATTTGATGACCAAATGATCTCCTTCTCTCCATTCAGGATTACTAGATTACCATCCTCCGATATCATTACAATCCCAGAAGAATCATTTAGAGGCTGTTCTCTATTAGCAACCCATACAGCGGTCACCACAGGAATGTCGTATAAAATTCCAACATAACGATTCGTACTATTTCCGGGACGAAAGAATCCCAGCTTGAAGATCTTTCCAATTGAGACTATAGTTTCAGCGTCTTTGATTGGTTGTGTGGATGTAATGGTGTCTATGGAAGTGCAAAACTCCAAATAAAAGCAGACAAGCATGATGACAAGGGCTTGAAGAGGTATCAATTTTTTATTGTCAGGAATTCCCATAGTTCTTTGAATGCTTCTTGCTGGTGAGGATGGAAGGTGATGTGTGTTGTCTACAGGGTTCAATTGTAACATTGTTCAGTTTCTTCATTTCTTCTTCATACTTTCCACACTGGCAGAAATTACTTTGAAGGAGCTCTTCAAGCCATCATATTTGATTTTCAACTTGGTGGCCCTAAACACCTAGTCCAAAATTCAGAGATGAGGGCCCTACATTATAACAACTTCAACCATCTTTCACCTGGGAATAGGGTTATCAAATAACATGACCCCTTTAACACCAATACTAATTGGGTTTAGACACCAAGAACAAGTTAAACCGGTGCCAAGTGCACAAGGCTCGCGCCATTGCGGGGTCTAGTGACGTACACAATCTAATCTCGACTTGCAAACAGATAGGCTATTACTACGACTTGAATCCGTCACTTTTAGGTCTGGAGCAACCTTACTGTATCGCCAACAGGTAATTTTTGAAAAAATCACTAATTAATTTTTTTTGCTTTCATTCCTAGTACTGTCTGAATGTTTTAGAATTAAATAGTTCTTCATAAACACTAATATTGATACGAATACGATGCAAGCTATAATGACACACCCTGAATATGATATAAGTAAAAATGACACGACACAATTCGATTGACACACCTACTTGAAAACAAGAGGGAAGTGGAATTGAAGGAAGAAAGACAATGCATAGATGGCATATACTTTGGTTGCTTGTTCAATTAAGAAGTGAATCCCCTTATTATCATATTAAAAAATTAAAGCAGAACTATCGTACAAATCAACCAGCTTGCGTAAAATCAATAATTATACAAACGAGCTTATTGAAAAGTAAATGGTTAACCACCTCTCCATTGATTAGTCTCTTAATAATGTTGAAATTCCACTGCAGACACCTATCATGACTTCGTTATCATTAGACTTTGTTAACTTGATACATGTCCAAGTGCAAGAAACACGTTGCTTGGCACAGATTGACTTAAAGACCTTTATGATATTTTTGTTGATTTTTTTTTTGTAGAGTCTAATTTGTATATGTGATTTTGAATGATGACCCGACCCGAAGTAATGGTTGCATGATTTTTTAATGAAAAATTTTATGAGGCTTAGTCCATGGAGCGAAGGTTTGGGCCGACAGGGTCAAGCCGTAGTGCTCATGGACAAGCCTCGTGGGGTTTCGGGGACAACGGCCCCGAGGAAAATTTTTGGGCCCGTTATATAGCCCAATGCGTAGGACATATAAAACCCATTATTTTGGTGATTAAAAATTAATATGGTGGATTGTACAGCCGCTCTCTGTATTCAACTCTCTCAATAGTGAAATCCCTGTAGCTTCGTGGACGTAGGCAAATTGTCGAACCACGTAAAATCTGTGTCTTGTTCTTTCTTGTTTCTTATTGCTTTATATTCTTAATTTGTTCTTCGATTGTGTGTGTTTGTTAGTGAATTTAAACTCGGTGTTAAATCCCAACAATTTTGTTTTCATATTTCATTCAACGATAAGACTACGGCTTGCTACATGTCCAAGTGCAAGAAACGTGTTGCTTGGCACAGATTGACTTAAAGACCTTTTGTAATTTTGTTTTCATATTTCTTTTAACGATAAGACTACGGCGCCAATCCGGTATGGTAACCAAATTTATAAGTAAATATGACTTTGTTATCAATTCATTTGGAAAAAATTTACGATACAAAAAGATTGGTTACAACTATGTGGTGAAGTTGCTTGTCGATCGTAAACAACCATATTGTACCGTAATCTCATCAAGGGTCATAATCTCATCTGGAACTACTTTGGAGAGATTCCCATGCTCTCCATTGATTAGTCTCTTAATGATGTTGAAATTCCACTGCAGACACCTATCATGACTTCGTTATCATTAGACTTTGTTAACTTGATACATGTCCAAGTGCAAGAAACACGTTGCTTGGCACAGATTGACTTAAAGACCTTTATGATATTTTGTTTTCATATTTCATTCAACGATAAGACTACGGCTTGCTACATGTCCAAGCGCAAGAAACGTGTTCTACAAATTGTTACATGTTCAAGGGTCATAATCTCATCTGGAACTACTTTGGAGAGATTCTCATGCTCTGAAATAAAATCAGGAAGCCTTGTGATTCTACAAATTACTAGAAGACAAGAAATTTAAGATATTTCGAGTCTTATGAAAATTAAGGATCTTCGATATAATGTTTGTGTAAGTTCTGCCATCCTTCCAAGAAAAGAATTGTAATACTTTTTATCTTGGGAAAGCATTCGGGACTAAATGCAAGAATGGTCTTATTACCATTAAGGGTTTGGTTGTTAGATCCAAAAAATAAAAATTTTAGTACCGTACCATTTATCACTATAAGACGTAATTAAACATAAGCAATCCAGGATTTGAAATCCAAATTGTTGGCTAATCTTTAGACACAATTACTTGTGTGAAATTGATGCAAAATCCAAGATTTGAAATTCTCAATGTTTGCTAACCCTAAAACTCAGTTATTTGTATTTTTGTTTCAGAAAGTAAAACAGTATAAAATGAAAACTATTAAACTCAAGTCGTATTCCTATATGTCAAGTGGACCCCATCTAACTCTTATGCTCCAGGGGGTATCAAATAGAAACCTATCTTCCTCATAAGGCATAATCACCATGAACTCATTGAATTCCCCTTTTCCCTGTTACTGTGCAGTCTTTTAACCCCTGTAACTAGCACTGTGGGACACCAAAAGCCTCTCTCATCCACCAGTGGACCAGAAGCCTCTTTTTTATTTTTTTGTTTTCGAGAGCAGAAGCCTCTTCTTTAACGTAGCTATTCCTCTAGGATACCTGTAGCCTTCATTCAAAATGATTCAATGTTCTGAACACTTACCAATATGAAAACCCAGCAGCCCAAAATTACTAGACATTACAAAAATACTTTTAACACCACGATAAAATAAAAAAGGTGCTTTTGTTGAACTTGTCGAGAACTTTCCAAAATGGGGTCAAAAACCTTTTTCTAACACCATCGCTGAACTACCAAAATATCTATACCAGACAAGAAACAAAAAAAAAAGAAAAATTGTCAAGATTTTTGCAGCCTATCGGCCTTCAATGCTTGTGATGGTGACATTGTTGATAGAGCATTGTTTTTCCCTTTGTGGAGAAGACTGCCTTTCTGTAAATGCATGTTGTTTTGGAGTAGGAAGATCTGCAATTTCACTACTAAGCATTGAAAGAACAGTGGAAACAGTTGGCCTATCTTTGGCAAATTCTTGAACACATAAAAGTCCAACATGTATGCATCTCAAGATTTCCATTATGAATTGTGTATTAGGTATCTTTGGATCTGCTAATGTGATGCTCTTATCTTCATTCCACAGTTTCCAAGCCTGCAGACATTAAGAAAAGAATGAATTGTTGGACTTAAAAAGACTTAAGTAGTGTCAAAATCAGCATAACTTAAGCAAATGAACTTACAAATCTTAGAAGGCTCAAAGAATGCTCATCATGATAAAAACTGGTGTTCCTTCTCCCACTCATAATCTCTAATATCAATACTCCAAAGCTATAGACATCAGATTTTTCCGAGAATCTTCCTTCCATTGCATATTCAGGGGCCATATATCCACTACATTAAATTATTTTAGGCATAAAAATAAAATTAATTGAGTAAAGATGAACTATGGCGTGACATGTTGGTCACATGGACAATAATGAATCATTTTGGACGAAGTAATATCTACTTACAAGGTTCCAACGACCCTACTTGCATCGGCTTGATCTTGGTTGCCTCCAAATATCTTTGCGAGGCCAAAATCTGAAATTTTTGGGTTTAGTTGTTCATCCAATAAGATGTTACTTGCTTTTAAATCTCGATGAATAATTCTTAATCTGGAATCTCTGTGGAGGTAGAGGAGGCCTCGACCAATCCCTTCGATAATGTTGACACGTGTGCTCCAGTCTAGGAGTTCTTGTTTGAGTGAATCTGAAAATTTTGTTTGCAAAAAAACAAGTAGGAAAAGGTTGTAAGCTGAAGGAGATTGATGTTGACAAGCATCTTCTGAATGCAATCAAGTAAGCAGTAGTGCCGAAGCAGTGAATTGAAACAACTATATATGAGAAAAATAGATAAAATATCAACCAACCGAAAAGAAAAGTATCCAAGCTTTTATTTGGCATGTATTCATAGATCAACATTTTTTCTTCTCCTTCAACACAGCAGCCAATGAGTCTAACAAGATTGCGATGCTGGAGTTTAGAAATCACCACAACTTCATTCATGAACTCCTTTAGCCCTTGTCCAGAGGATCTTGAAAGCCTTTTTACAGCTATTTCTTGTCCATCCGGCAATTTTCCCTAAAAAGAAGCATCATATCAATTTCATATGCTTCACTATGGCATAATGCTCTGGATGAACAATCATTACCTTGTGGACTGGACCAAAACCACCCTGCCCGAGTTTATTGGCAGAATGGAAGTTGTTTGTTGCATGTGCCATACTCTGAAAACTATATAATGGCAGCTCTTCAACTTTAATTTGGTCCTGTTCAAAAAAAAAAAAAACTTCAATTTGGTCGGTAGCCTCTCAAAGCAACATTTCAAATTGAATATTGTGGATCTACTTCTTCTCTTTTAAATGTCACCTGCTCTCGTTTTTGCTTCCTTCCTGATGCAGAAACAAATTATAGTCAAATTTTATTTACTAATGAGTATTGGCTAATACTTCTGCTCTAACTCTTATGAACATACTACCTCTTCGCTTGGCTATCCACCTCCAAGAAAAGTACGTGCAGATGGCAAGGGTTACTGACCCTATGATTGTTGTAATTGCGATAACTACGTTCATGTTTTTCTCTTCATCTGTAAACCAGAACAAGCTTTTAGAGGTCAACTAAAATGAACAAAAGAATTGAAGTTGCATTTGGATGGATGGCTTTGAAATCAATGAGATTCAACTTTACGAATATTAAGAAGTTCATTGCAAACAATTTTCTCAGCTCTGTCCTTTTTGTCCTGTAAACTCCTATTCGAACAATTATGGTTTTTCAGATATATTTTTTAGTTTTCAGTAATTCTTTTTGGTCAACCATATCCAAGTGACATATGTTTGTTCTGAATCAGCAAGTAAACAAAGAGTAAAAGGAAAAGAGCACAAGAAGAAGCATACGGAAAAATAATTCACTGCAAGATGATAAATCAGACAAAAATGCATTACCAAGCTCCGAATATGCAACTCGAATGTAAAGATCTGCCCCAGAACCATTGGGGAATTTCTCTATGTCGATTAGAATTCCACTCCATTGCATACACCCAATGCCAGTGTGATATGAATATGCTAGACACGAACAATTATTCAAGCACAAGCTTCCACAATTGTCTTCTGGAGCAGGTGACCACTCCACAAAGTCTGGCACTTTGATTTTCTCGAGCTTCAAAAAACCATCTTCTTTGCCTCCTTCCTTGACAGTATCATTTCTCGCACATTGCAACGGTGTCTTTCTCTTGCATCCACTAGTCCAATTTCCTCTACTCCATTCCTCTTTATACTTTGGCTCAAATCCTCTTAAACAGGTACAAAATGGTGAATCCTGTGAATAACAGCTTCCAAATGGCCCACACTTGCCATAAAAACTGCACTCATTTCCTGGCGCCACAAACATCACTTCCCAATCTTCCTTCCCATCAGACCAAATCTTCTGCAATACAGATCCGTCAGAATTCAAGCTGATGTATTTTGGAATGGACTCATTTGCATAGGTAAAAGTTAAATAAAAAGTTCCTTCTTTGTTGTCTACAAGATTAAATCCATTGAGATATTCAGAAGGCATTTTTTGCATTCCAATAAAAACCTGACCATCCCAAGGACCACTACGCATGTATGGATGACTACCATTCCATACATAAATCTGTGGGATGTTTAGTGGATCAAGTCCAAGAGAGAAGTGTCCAATCGATGGGTTTGAAGGACTTTTCCATGATGTTAACAGAATCCTCTCATCTGTATTTACATCAGTACTAAGCCTCATCTTCTGTAAGAATGAGTCGGAAGGAAGTTGAAAACTCGCCCATAAGATCCTTCCACTGGAGTTGTCTCGCAGGACAAGGTTCCCAGTATCCAAAAGCTGAGCACTTGAATTTGCCAAAGGAGTTGAGACATTTGATGACCAAATGATCTCTTTCTGTCCGTTCAAGATCAAGAGATTACCATCCTCAGATATCATCACAATCCCAGAAGAATCATTCAGGGGCTTCTCTCTATTAGCAACCCATACCACAGTCATCATAGGGATGTTGTACAAAATACCAACATAACGATTTGTAGAATTCACAGGACTAAAGAATCCAAGCTTGAACATCTTGTCATTGGAGACAATATGTTGAGAGTCTGTGATGGATTGTGTGGATGTAATGGTGTCTGTGGAAGTGCAAAAATCTAAACCAAAGCACACTAGCATGAAAAGAAGGGGTTGGAACGGTATAAATTTTGTATTGCTAGCCATTTGTTCGAGTGCTTTTTGTTTGAGGATGGAAGGTGATCTGTGTATAGACTTCCATGAACAAAGTTCAATTTATTCTTCAAACTTTTTCACACTGCCAGAATTTCCTTGGAAGTGTCAAGCGGGTTAAGGCTTAAGATACTCATTCTTATTGGATTACATTGGACCAGTCATTGATAAATCTATATTGAAGTCTACTGTGTGTGTCTAAACAAAGCATTAGTGGCCGGCAAATATAGAAATTAGAGGAAATGTTTTTAGTAGTAAAGTTAGTAATTGAGACAAAGTAAAACTCACGGACAATTTAAAACAAAAAATATAATAAAGAAGACCTTTTTATATTTGTCACTGTACATCCAATCAACATCAGAATATGTCACCTAAATTTTAGAAATGACTAAATCCATCTAAAATCTCAATTACTTGTAACTTCTCTTAAACGTAAATAAATTTTTGTACGATACCGATTTCTTTTTTTAATATTATAATCTTATCCTAAATGGACATTTTCCACAAACCATCTGTTTATTATAGTTTTTGCATGGAATAGATAGGAACAAAATTCATTCCGCTTATATTCATAGGTCGCCCTCTTCAATCGTCGCCTCGTATAGAACTCGATCGTTGTGATTGTTCAATACTAAATGTTAGGAACCTGAGTAATACGCTGTGTTGGATCAAAACTTTTAAACTCGAGTCCTCTATCTCAAGTGGAACCCATCTAAGTCTTATGCCCCAGGCTAGGCCCCACCCGAGATGCAAACAACTTCATCAGTAATTCACTGGCCACTAGAAAAAAATGGGGGGTATCAAATAGGAAACCCTTCTTCCTCAGCAGGCATAATCACCATGAGCTCTTTGAATTGCCCTTTTCCCTGTTCCTCTGCCATCTTTTCACCCTTGGGACTAGAGCACTCTGAGACTTCAAAATCCTCTCTCCTCCACCAGTGCACCAGAGGCCTCTTCTTTAGAACATCTATTTTCAGGGAAAAACTTGAACAGTTAAAATCTGAAATAATACAAAGGTCTAACAAGTTGAATATTCCAGGGAATATCAGGTTACATTTATTGCTAAAACTATCAAAGCGTATCAGAAGGGAGGAGAACACAACTGTAGCTTTTATTCAAAATGATTCAAAGTTCTGAACAGTAATCAACATGAAAACCCAACAGCCCAAAATTACTAGACATTACAAAAATACTTTTTACAGCCCGATAAAAAAAAAAGTGCTTAAAAGTAGTCTAAACATCACTTATTGGCTTAATAACAACCGAGATGATGGCATCAGTTTTGTTGAACTTGTCGAGAGCTTTTCGAATGGGGCCTTGATTAACCCTTTGACTATCACTGCTTGTGACAATTCTGATCTGTCACGTAGTCCTCACGAAAATGTAGAATTGAACTAAAAAGATATCTATACTTAACAAAGAACAAAAAAGAAAAAAAAATGTCAAGATTTGCAGGCTATCGGCCTTGAACACTTGTGATGGTTACACTGTTGCTAGAGCATCGTTTTTCACTTTGTTGAGAAGACTCCACCTCAGAATAAATCTGCCTTTCCGTAAATGCAGGTTTTTTTGGTTTAGGAAGGTCTGCAATTTCACTACTAAGCATTGAAAGGACAGCAGAAATAGTTGGCCTATCTTTTGCAAATTTCTTGCACGCATAATAGTCCGACATGTATGTATCTCAAAACTTCCATTTTGAAGAGTGTATTAGATATCTTTGGATCCACTAATGTGAAGCTATTATCTTCATTCCACAGTTTCCATGCCTGTGGACATTAAGAAAAGAATGAATTGCTGGACTTAGAAAGACTAAGGGCCTTAAAAATCAGCATTACTTGAGCAAATGAACTTACAAATCTTAGAAGGCTCAAAGAGTGCTCATCATGATAAAAACTGGTGTTCCTTCTTCCACTCATAATCTCTAATATCAATACTCCAAAGCTATAAACATCAGATTTTTCTGAGAATCTTCCTTCCATTGCATATTCAGGGGCCATATATCCACTGCATTACACGGCGTAATAATAAAATTAATTGAGTAAAAATGAACTGTTGCTCATCATGACATGTTGGTCACGTGGAAAATAATGAATGGACAAAGCAATATCTACTTACAAGGTTCCAACAATCCTACTTGTATCGGCTTGATTTTGGTTGCCTCCAAATATCCTTGCGAGGCCAAAATCTGAAATTTTTGGGTTTAGTTGTTCATCCAATAAGATGTTACTTGCCTTTAAATCTCGATGAATGATTCTTAATCTGGAATCTCTGTGAAGGTAGAGGAGGCCTCGGCCAATCCCTTCAATAATGTTGACACGTGTGCTCCAATCTAGGAGTTCATGTTTGAGTGAATCTGAAAGTTTTGTTTCCAAAAGAACAAGTAGGAAAATGTTGTAAGCTGAAGAAAATTGATGTTGAGAAGCATGTTATCGGCTGACTGCAATCAAGTCAGCAGTAGTGCCAAAGCAAAGAATTGACACAACTATAAATGATAAAAAGAGATAAAATATCAACCAACCGAAAAGAATTGCATCCAAGCTTTTGTTTGTCATGTACTCATAGATCAGCATCTTTTCTTCTCCTTCTACGCAGCAGCCAATTAGTCTAACAAGATTGCTGGAGTTTAGAAATCACCACAACTTCATTCATAAACTCCTCTAGCCCTTGTCCAGAGGATCTTGAAAGCCTTTTTACAGCTATTTCTTGTCCATCTGGAAATTTTCCCTAAAAACAAGCCTCAAGTCAATTTCGTATGCTTCAATATGGCATAAATGTCTGGATGACCAATCATTACCTTGTAGACTGGTCCAAAACCACCCTGCCCAAGCTTATTGGCAGAGTGGAAGTTGTCTGTTGCATTTGCCATACTCTGAAAACAATATAATGGCAGCTCTTCAACTTTAATTTGGTCGTTATTCTCTCGAAGCAACGTTTCAGTTGAATACACTGGATCTGCTTTCTCTCTTTCGAATAATACCTGTTCTGGGTTTTGCTTCCTTCCTGATGCAGAAACTAATTGTAGGTAAATTTATTTAACAATGAATATAGGGTAATACTTTTGAGCTAATTCTTATGAAAGAAAGGGACTACCTCCTCGCTTGGATATCCACCGCCAAGAAAGGGATGCGCATATGGCAATGGTTACTGACCCTGTGATTGTAGTAATTGCCAGAACTACTTTCATGTTTTTCTCTCCATCTGTAGACCAGAACACAATTTAATAGATTTCAGCAAAAATGAGGAAAAGAAATAAGGTTGCATTTAGATGGATGGCTTTCAAATGAATGAATTTCAATTTCACAAATATTAAGAAGTTCATATGGCAAACAATTTTCTCAGCTCTGTCCTAGTTGTCATGTCTGAATAATTATGGTTTTTGAGAAATAGTTTTCAGCAATTCTTTTTGATCAACCATATGCAGTTGACATACATTTGTTCTGAATCAACAAAGTAACAAACAGTTAAAGGAAAAGAGTATAAGAAGGAGCATACGTATGAATAATTCACTGCATTATAATATATCAGACAAAAATGTATTACCAAGCTCTGAATATACCACTCGAATGAAAAGATCCGCCCCGCCCTGAGGAAATTTCTGTATGTCAATTAGACTTCCACCCCAGTGCATACACCCAATGCTAGGGTAATATGAGTAAGCTATACAGGAGCAATTATTCAAGCACAGGCTTCCACAGTTGTCTTCTAGAGCAGGTGACCACTCCACAAAGTCTGGCACTTTCATCATCTTGAGCCTCAAAAATCCATCTTTTTTGCCCCCTTCATTGAGAGTATTGTTTCTCTCACATTGCAACAGTGTCTTTCTTATACATCCACTAGTCCAATTACCCCTACTCCATTCCTCCTTATACTTTGGTTTAAATCCTCTTAAACAGGTACAAATTGGTGAATCCAGCGAATTACAGCTTCCAAATGCCCCACACTTGCCATAAACATTACAGTCATTTCCTGGCGCCAACCACGTCACTTCCCAGTCTTCCTTCTCATCAGACCAATACTTCTCCAGTAGAGTTCCATCAGAATCCAACATATAGTATGTTCCAATGGACTGATTATACACATAGGTAAAAGTTAAATAAAAGGTTCCTTCTTTGTCGTCTACAATATTAAATCCATCGAGATATACAGAAGCCATTTCTGGAATTCCAATAAAAATCTGACCATCCCAAGGACCACTACGCATGTATGGATGACTACCATTCCATACATAAATCTGTGGGATGTTTAGTGGATCAAGTCCGAGAGAGAAGTGTCCAATCGATGGGTTTGAAGGACATTTCCATGATGTAAGCAGATTTCTCTCACGTGTCTTTGCATCATAACCAATTCTCATCCTCGGTATGAATGAATCGGAAGGATGTTGAAAACTCTCCCATATGATCCTTCCACTGGAGTTGTCTCTCAGGACAAGGTTCCCGGTATCCAAAAGGTGGCACTTGAATTTGCCACAGGATTTGAAACATTTGATGACCAAATGATCTCCTTCTGTCCATTCAAGACCACGAGATTACCTGTTCGAATCAAGAGGACTATTAATATATATCAATACGATAATGGAAGAGACATAGAGAAGATAAAACAAACACAGTCACTCTTTTAATTCACTCATGCCCACTTACTCAATGACAAGATGCATAAAATATAACTCCCAAATAGACAAATTACAAGTTTGTTTTTTTCTCAACATTACCGTCCTCAGATATCATCACAATCCCAGAGGGGGCTTTTCTCTATTAGCTACCCATACCACAGTCATCACAAGGATGTTGTATAGAATACCAACATAACGATTTGTGGTATTTACAGGACTGAAGAATCCAAGCTTGAAGATCTTGCCAATGGAGACTACAGTTTCAGAGTCTTTGATGGATTGTGTGGATGTAATGGTGTCTATGGAAGAGCAAAAATCTAAACCAAAACACAGTAGTATGAGAACAAGAGCTTGAAATAGCATAGAGATTGTAATGTTTCCCATATGTAGAGTGCTTCTTGTTGGTGAGGATGAAAGGTGCTATGTGTTTTCTAATGTCTATATAGACTTCCACTGAACGACTTTTAATTACTTCATTTCATCTTCATACTTTTCCACAATGATAGATATTCCACTGAAGAATTAATTAGCCCAAGTCTTAAGCCACTCATTCTATTTGGGTTACGTTGGACCAAATCACCAAAAAATCTATACAGAAGCCGCCAGATAGGTTTTCTAATTTGGTGATTTATCTTATCTTAGGCTAGCACAAGATTTTTCATATGTTTTCCTTGTCTATCATATGCAAGTTATTAATTGCATGCATGTACTCAAACCATTAGGTGCCCGGGAAAGCCTACAGTACTGAAGCGTTACTTTCTCTTGACTACCATCTTCTCACATAGGCTCTTTCCATCAGTTTTAATAGAGAAATAAGACAAAAGAGGCCAATTGCTGACAGGTAATATTACCTTAATGCCCCTTTCTGTCTTCTTCTTCCAACTGCTGAAATCACAGTCGTACAGTTATCTCTCTCTGGAAATTAGAGTAACACACAACAATCCAAATATTCAACAAACAATCAACCACCCAAAACATTTGATCCTCAAAACTCTCTCACTATGATCAATTACAGTATTGAAATGGAACCCATGTAAAATCAATGGCACTGCTAAAAGAAATAAACAAAACAACCCTAATTACAGATGTCTACCGTTACATAATGGTTAATGGAAGGGTGAAACTGTAATTAAAGAATTCAATAGGAGAATTTGATATTTTCTTCTACAGAAAAAGAGATAATTCAAGACCAAGCAAATGAAAGTCTCAGGTTTAATTGTTACTGTCTCAATTGTGTTTTGACATCCCGAAAAAAAGTGACTTAAAATCACCATCTCTGCCAAAATCTAGCAACGCTAACACCATCCTAAGAGTAAAATTTGGTAATTTTTGAAGTGAAAACGGTAAAAAGCCCACAACGAAAGTACCTCACTCTTTACCATCGCATTACGTCTGTGTTCTCCATTCAATTGGTGGTTATTTCAGCTCAGATGGACAGCAATGGAAGAGAGAATACTCGAATGTTGGCGCTGGAGACGAAAGAGTATGGGCATACTCAATCCCAATCTGTTAGAATTTTCTGCATATGGGTCAGAATTGTTTCCCTCTCATCCGAGACCAAACCCATCCCAGTTCAACAAAATACTTAATAAAATATATTTAAATATTATATTTTCTATTTTTTTAGTCATTTTTTTAAAGTTCACTCCAGTAATTCTTTCAATTTTAAACACCTATTTTAATTAATTTTAAACTAATTTTTAATAATATAATTTAAAAATACCACGTGACCTAACACACTAATGTCATAATAATGACACGACATAATGACGTGTTGTGCCACATCATCAAAGTTTTAAATTTAACCGTCATATTTTTAAAAATATATAAATATGACTTTTCCTGTGTATTATCATCATAATAATAATTCTAATCAAAATTCAAATAACACAACCTAGCAATTTAACACTCGTCCACCTTAAATAACATAAACCAATTACAAGATACATGTCTTATAAACCTAAGATTTTCAAAAATATTTGCATTAATATTTTCATAGGGTCTAAAATCAAATATTCCATTAAAAATAAAGTTAGGGGGGTTTCAAAATGGGTTGAAGGGGAAGGTGGGTTGCAGAATAGGTGGGTGGGTGGGTGGGTGGGGTGGGATTTGCTGCTTGGGGGTGGGGGGATGAAGAAGATTACTTGACAGCAAACATTGGCACGAGCAGTCTGGCGCACTTCTTCTCCCTCTCTAGATTTGACGAGCAACAAGGATCTCCTAGGTTTTAACTAACAAGATGGTTAGTCGATTAGAGCAGTTTTTTTCGTGCAATCCTCGCCAAACTAATTAACAATAAAGATTTAGCTAATGGGTTGTAGATGCTCTAAATCTCCCAAACACACACAATTTTTTTTCACAAAGGTGCTAGATTAACTTACATGCAATTCTATTTCACTTATTCACCGGACTAATATTTGATCTTGTGCAAAATTGTCTCTACACAAGGGGCGATAACTTTTTTTCATATGATCGAGCTATCACTAAACTAATTTTTATGGTTAAATTATTAATTGTTTTTAAAATTACTAGAGTTGACACAATTATAATTTAAACGAAGTGAAGTTTAATCAAAATACCGTATTTCTCCGTTAATGTTTAGGGTAGAATTCACACTCTTAGGTAACCCTCTTTTCAAGTACTTTTCATAAGCTAAAAAATAATGCTCAAGAGCAAAACACAAAGACACAAACAACTGTGGCATGAGAGATGGGCATCCACATGATCTTATGTTGCTCAAATGGTCTCTAGAATTATTTATGATTCAGGTAGGAGATTCATGAGAACAATGTTATTTATTGTTTGATTTTGGTTGTTCTGTGTTGATGGACTATCTTTTTGAATTAGAAGTTATGATTCAAACTGAACATTCCACAGTGAGTTATATGTCCTCTTATCAACCCTAGAATGTGAGAAATGACGTTAATATATGAAAATCTTCCCCAAATGGTCTGTTTATAGGACTAATTGGTACCCACTAGACTCAATCTTTGAGGAGGGAGCTCAACCTTTGAGATACTACAGTAGTCTAGGAGGTAGAAGAGTAATACATTAGGGTTTTAGAATCAAGGGTGACAATCATGTTCATTCAATTTGTATTCCATTTTTCCTCAAGGGGAGCATTGTATAAGGTAGGACTCCTTCATCAAGTTATTTACCAAACTCCTGCATCCCAAAATTTTATTTATTAAAATGAGTCATTTTTAAACTTATTTTTCAAACTCAATCATTTCTTAAAAACGTCATTCTCAATAACACTTTTATTATTAAAAATAATCATTTAAAATGACGTATTTTAACGCATTATATATTAAAATTGATTCACCTTTAAAAGTATCATTTCAAATAACGTCTTTAAACCAAATAACGTTTTGAGTCACAAATACTTTATTTGGAAATATGTTTTCTAAAAATGACTGGGATTAAAAAATAAATTTAAAAATAACCGAGAAATAAGTTGGGATGGGGCATGCCTTTGGTGAACAACTCCTCCTTCGAGTGTGATTCTTTTTGGCCGTTTGAGCAATAGTATCATTGGTAAACTTTACCCTTTTGTGGGGTACTTGATGGGTTTCTTGTGCCCTCTAAGGATTCCCATCGTTGTGGTGCCCTTGGAGGTTTTGGTAAAAATATACTCTACTTTGTGCACATGATCTATTGCTGAGGGTTTTTTAACTTCCGTGGGTATGGGACAAACTATGTTGTGCTAGACTACCATGAGGCTCTCGTGGTGCCATTCTTATCTTTGCAGACAGGACTTTCCGATGTGGAACATGAACTTGTCATATCATATAATGTTACCCTCAAATCATAAAAAAGTATGCTTGTCATGATTTTATGATTACATTTGGGCAGTTGATTGGGTCAATTACCTGATGATTCTATCAGTGTTATTTTATAATATATTTGAAAAAAAATTTAGTCACGCCCTTTCTAATTTGTTATATCTTTAAGTATATTCTTTCTCTTTTTTAAATTTTTACCGACACCCACAGATTAATAATGTTAACTAAAATATAATTTTAATAAATTATCCATGATATATTTTAGAAAAAATTTCATCCACGCCTCGTATAAACAAACATATCTTTAATAACACCTCCTTTGTTTTTTGAACTTTTTTACGTATTAAAATCTGAATTGATTAAAATTCGATTCGAGTTAATTAAAATTTATATGAGTCGATTAAAAATTATATTTTTTTTACATATTAAAATTCGTTTTTATTCTTATCGAATCAAATTTTAATTAACTCGAATTAAATTTTAATTAGTCCGAATTTTAATATATATAACAAATATAAATTTTAGTCGATTCAAATTTTAATACGTAAAAAGTAAATTTTAACTAACCCGAATTTTAATAAGTAAAAAATATAAATTTTAATTGACTCTAATCAAATTTTAATCCAATTCAAGTTGAGTTCGAATCGGCTATAATTTTAATACGTTAAAAAAAATTAATAAGCTCAAATTTTAATACATAAAAAATAAATTTTAATCGGTTTGAATCGAATTCTTAGAGGTTTATGTGAGGGCAATTTTGTTATTTTAGATGAATTTTTTTGTTTAAAAATGATGATTTAATGACAAGGGGGTGTGAGGGATGTTTAAATATATACTAAGAGGGGTGTCACTGATAATTTTGTAAATTGCCATCCAAAATTGCAAACAGACTTGATTTCTTAAGAGAGAATGCTTGCCATGACAAGCAATATATAGTTCCAGTCCCTTGACCTTGACTAGTAGCTATAAATGGGTAACTTCCCATGCAACTTCGAGGAAGGAGAACCCCCACTGCACCATGAAACCCCCCACAAACTTTATCAGCAAAATCCCTGCAACATATGCAGTTTCCGCTGATCTGTACCTTCGTTGTCACCCCCCTGATCCTCTTTCCTCGAACACTTCACTTTCTCCCTCCCCCAGTCCCCCTCCTCTATATATTCCCTTCCTTTCTCACCAAGATACCCATAAACACATTTTTTTTTTCTGTCTAGTGCATTGTGGTCATTGAATAGATACTCGTAAAATCGTTGATCATCCAGCAATGGCGTCGAGAAGTGATATCGTGTTCGAGGATTTCTTTCCATCCATGGTGGAGAAATTGGGTGAAGAAGGGTTTATAAATGAGCTGTGTAATGGGTTTCGATTATTGATGGATGGGGAGAAGAAAGAGATCACTTTTGAGAGCTTGAAGAAGAACTCTGCTGTGCTAGGGTTGCAGGACTTGAATGATGATGAATTGATGTGCATGGTGAGAGAAGGTGATCTGGATGGAAATGGAAGCTTAAATCAGATGGAGTTTTGTGTCCTCATGTTTAGGTTGAGTCCTGAGTTGATGAAAAGATCAAAGAGGTTGGTAATAGAAGCTGTAATGAAAGAGTTGGAAGGCCTGTAATATTGTTTATTAGGTCATCTCTCTCTCTCTCTCTCTCTCTCTCTGTGTATTTGATTCTAGCTAGCATATAATATTTGGTTCAGTATATTAATTAAGATCCACCAAATTGTTCTAAAGCTTTAATGGTATTGCAATTTTTTTAGGCCAGATTACTTGAGGGGGAGAAAAATCATCAAGAAATATAAGGGAGCAAGATCATTTGAGAATTAATTTAGTGTACTTTGATCAAACTGATGAATTTCGACCCATTTGATCGAATAACATTCTATTAGATAGGAATAGATTTGATAAATACTAATAACTCTCTGATAGAGTATTAGAATGGAATGTTATAGAATTCAATCAATTTGATTGCTAGGATAATTGATCAAAGCGGTATCTTGGATGATATGCTTCTCTTTTATTTTTCTTTTCTTTTCTCCCTTTCATTTTCATTCCCAAATCAGTAAACTATCTACATAAAAGAGTATGACACAGCTCCACCTCCAATAAGCTAAAGATCAGCCATAATTTTCCAACAATTCTCTCTCCAGGTGCAGCAAAAATTAGAGAATAGAGTATGTATGGTACAATGGATACTTTTTCCCCCTTTTCTTCCCGATCCAATATTTATTTTTGAAGGTTTTCGTTTTTGTGTAGAAGCAAACTCTTCAATTTTATGATTAACCTTTCTTTCGATAATCTTGCAACGAACAAGAGTTTTTTCATTATAAATTCGTACGAAAGCAAATATATGTGTGTGTGTATAGGTTGATACTTGATAGCCACCTGTGATACTCGGGGTCTACCTAAGCCAGGTCAGGCTCATTATACCAACTGCCCATTTCACATCAACCTCTCCTAAAGTTCTCCCACCCTAAACAAGGAAGAGAGAACGGGCCAGAAAATTGTTAAGAAACAGGGCCAAACCCGCTTGTGCCATGAATCTTGAGTCATAACTCTCCTAGCGCCGGGCATGTCCGTGGTCTTTGGCCCGCTTGGCTATCAGACTAGGCTGATTAAGGCCCAAATAACCACCATTCAAACTCATATCCCCATGGATGGCCCAATGAAAAGGATGTGGTCACCCATATAACCCAGACTAATGGCTAACAACCAAATATTATACCATTATTTTATATCATTACATGTCTACCTAATCATATAGGGCTGCCTTAAAAGACAGCCCTTTTTCGATAGTGATTTCAGATATAGTACTATAGAGTATGATATTTGAGCTAGCAGGACGACAGAAGAGAGAAGAGCTCAGTCTTCGGCTTACTAGGCTGATTAAGGCCCCGAACAACCACCATTGTAAGCTCACATCTCCAAGGATGGCCCAATAAAAAGGATGTGGTCGTGTTTCTCGTTCAATAGTCAAGACCAGCCCAGCCCGGCCCATGGGAACCCATATATCCCAGACTTGTGCTATCAACCAAATATTATACCCACATTTTATATCATTACATGTCTACCTAGTCATATAGGGTTGATATATATGGGGATATTATTTTTAAGTCATCATGCATTTCTAGAAGGCATGGGCGAAGGCATTTCCCACCCACAAGCTAAAACTGTGTGCCATAACAATCTCTAAATCTGACATTATCCTTCCTTGGATGTGGTCCAGCTTGTATGCTGGATGCTTCCCCATGGTCACAATCTCTGTAACACTAACATAATTTAGGTAATCATGACAACAAGCTTTAAGGGATTTGTATGAATCCTTTTGTTAGGTATTTGGTGAGATAAAGTATAAAGTGTTTCACACAAATACCCAAAAAATTTCAGCCTTTAAATAAAAGTATCTTCATATTCGTCGATTATTATCTTCTTATGTTGATAAACAATCAAATTATTGATCGGCAAGAAGGGACATCTTAAAAGTATGGGACAAAGGATCAAACACTTTGACGTTGTCCCTTGGGTTGGGATCCACCACAGGAGGGGTTTGAGAGCCGTGTGATGAGTGACTATCCAACACGGTAAAAGTATGAAATGTACTTGTACATATGTTCTGCTATGTATGTGTGGAATTCAATTAAAATAGAAACTGCAATGTGTTTTCATTGTTGATATTATAGATGGACAGGAGACACATCAAAGGAAATACAAGAAGGTGGTGCGCACTGGGTGGACATTGGATAACATCACATCCATTAGTCCCCAAGCAAGAAAGAAACACACACACCCACAAGAGAGAGAGAGAGAGGTGTCCTTTGTTTGATATTCTGGATAATATTTTAATTAGAATGCTCAGCATATTAGATACAAGAAAAATTCTACAGAAGAAAAGAATTATCAATAGCTTTGTTCCAAAGAAAAAGAAACTAGAAAAACATTTAAGGATGCCGCTATCACATGATCACCTCAAGTATTTTATAATAAATATCATGTTCATCTGGTAATTAGCACATTGAAATATCTGGTCAGAGAATTCTGTAATCAATAGGCAGCACTAGACTTTCCTTGCAGGCTGCAACTTGCTCTTGCCCCTCTCTTTGCTCTGTTTTCCTTTTCTTTTCTTTATATTGACCTGAATCACAACTCAATTCTACTCAACGAAGCCTTATCCTGACTTTTTTGGAATTGGGTAACTGGCTGGAATCCCCAGGAAACAGAAAAATAGATTCAATAAGAGTAGGGAAGTGGAAAAAAAAATGCATTTGATAACTCGAGGTTGAAAGAATTTGACAAGTGAGAGGCTAAAGACAGGTGAAAACAATGAAGAAATGTGAGTTGTGCAACTCTATTGCAAGAATATACTGTGATTCAGACCAAGCCAGCCTGTGTTGGGACTGCGATGCCAAGGTTCACACAGCCAACTTCTTAGTCGCCAAGCACTTAAGAACTCTTCTCTGCCATGCTTGCCAATCTCCCACTCCATGGACCAGTTCTGGCCCCAAGCTTGGACCTACTGTCTCAGTCTGTGAGGCATGTGCCAATGCAAGTAGTAGTCATATCAGTGATGGTGATCATGACCTTGAAGATGATATAGAAGAGTACGAGGACAATGAGAATGAAGATGATGATAGTGATCAGATTAGTGATGAAGATGATGGAGACAATCAAGTTGTTCCTCTATCTTCCACACCTTTGGCTCCACCTTTGCTCTCAAGTTCTTCTAGCAGTGAAGAACACACTTCATTAATTATATAGTATGAGAGAGAGTACAAACAAATCTGCAATTGGGTTTTCATCAAAATGAACATATAAAATTTCCATTCTGAGTTATGATGTATCTCTTTTCTTCCACATTACTCTGTTTTGACATCCACATCTGTTTGCTTTCAATGTGTAGAAGTATATACATACTACAATTACACACACACACACACTGCTTTTGTTTATTTTTCAAATTTTTTATTAAGATTTGCAATCTCTTCTCAACTTGCCAAAAAGTCTGGATTCCAGGATTTGTTATGTTGCTTTTCTACTCCGTTTACTTCCTCAAGAAAATTGACCATACAAGGCTGATGAGCATTGATCAGCTCATGCACATGGCAATAATGCTGAAGCAGAATTCAAGCAAGCCTTTCATTGTACAGCAATGCTTGATTGCATGTGACCATGATTCGCACTTGAGAATCAGCCTCTCGAAATTGGAGGAATGACTCTCTACCGTTTATGTGCACTGAATATGATCTTTTTTTTCTTTGGACTAATAACCCTCCTTCCTGATGTTGATAGTCCTATTACTTAGTTCATTTGACTTTAATTTTGGAGTCTCTGATTGAAAACTTATCGTAGCTTCTTATCAACTCTCACTGTAATTTTGATGTGTCAGAAACTTACAACAAAATACAAGTATACAACCTAGGATTACATCAACTTGGGAGGGCTCATGTGGACAGGTGATAGAGATGGACAAATGCTTTTATCATAATTATAATATAAACATAACAGAATCCAAAGAAAAATTAAATGTGTGGAGTCTCCAACATCTCCATGTGCCTAACATAAAACCCATATTAGTATTTTATTGCAGTTTGATCAAGGCCTTATTTTCCAAGTTAACTTAATTGACTTGAGAGAGAGAGAGAGAGAGAGAGAGAGATGGTTCCAAAAAAATGTGGTGGAGAAACATTGCGTCTGGAGGGAGATAAATCACAAACCTATGGACTAAATGATGTTCCCACAACGGGCTAGTTGCTTTGCATTTTACTACTCGAAGAGGAAGACCTTATCAAAACCAAAAACTAACCGAAATCAATATGCAAGGCACACTAACCAAGAAAGCCAAGGTTTTTTATACTATATAAGTTAATGCCTTTTCCTCTCCCTCGTAGCCTCCTTTGTCATGCTGCCATCCATCCACTCAACTATCTCACTCGCACACTCGACTAGACATGGGAAGCTTGTTCACCTATGAATGTGCTCTACCACACTTGACTAGCGGTTGGCATATTTCGGGTCTATGATGGAGAGGCAGCTCTCGTAATTTTTACCGATAGAGTCATTTAATTTTTCTTAATTTAATATATAAAATTAGAACCCTAATTCCAATGATTTCGGCCTAAAGTTCACGTGGTTATCATATAATCCAATTCTTCTATTGAGAAGCATGACAAGAGCAAGAAATTCAATCCATACCAGATAAGTAGAAGAGGTAGAATCTCCTTCCAAATTCTCTGGTGTCCAACCAACTCTAGATTAGGTGACATGGTAACCCATTTGTCCAAACAATTTGAGATTGATGGCGTAGCCGTTGCATGATTCAGCATCAGAGGTACCTGGTTACAATCAGATTTCTAGTCGGCCAACGATTGTGGCACACATTCACATATTTCAGCACAATGAGAAAGTAACAGGAGCTGCTATTCTTCATAATGAAACAAAGCAAGCTTTATTGACTCTCTTCTTGAATGTAATCAAACTTCCAAGGACAGGATGGGTTACAAGACAGTTTTACACAGCAAGTTATGCCACACAGAAACCATTCAAAAACCTAAAACAATCTCAAAAGGCTGATCGACGATGATTATTCCAAGGTTTATGGATTTGAAACACAGCTGACATGATTACGCTGAAGAGAAGCACTTCATTTTCAAACATGGCATAAACCACACCCACCGAGATCATCTGACTCAGACATCTCAGCATCAGCAACTTCCAGTCGCTCAAGAAGCCTTCTCCATATCTACAGGACAGGTACGCTTGGACTCAATTCACTTGTCACCAAAGCTAGCAAAAAAGTTTTACATGCTAAATCATGCAAAATATTAAAATACGCACTATGTTCCTACTGAATTTAATCACATTAATGCACACAATGAACCACAACACAAAAATCATATTTGATGTCACACACTCCCTCATATCATCAACCATCGGTGCCATGGAAAGTATTATTAACATCCATGCTTCATATTCTCCTTAAGACCTGTACAGCAGTCAATAATTTCGTTTCACTTTCTTACTGGTAAAATGGCAGGTTTCCACCTTACGTTCAAGTAGTACTTGCTACATCTTTCAGCAGGATTAAACACCTGCCACACAAAAGGGGATGATATGAGCCTGTGTGATGCCAAGGTATTTCATTTAGGACGCATGGAGTAGACTGTGCAATTAATTGTCCAGAAAACAGCTGCCCTCTCCATGACACACAGCTGAAAATTAGCCTTGAGACAAGATGTGGACTTTCCTCATGCTACGGTTTCCTCTGGTCTGTTCCCAGGTTGCATTAAGGGAACATCCAAGTGATTATCTTCGCTGACGCAAAAGGGCTCACATGGCACAGAACAAGAATAACACCAACAGATACTTCATTTGCTTGTCTACAACATATTATGAAACATGTTCCCATCCATTCAATCCCACACAGATCAACTTAAATTTAACAAAACAAACATTATAGATTGTTAACATTGAAGGGTGCACCCCAAATGATACATATCGATAAACACAAATAAAAATTTCAGTCACCAAAGTAAATTGTGATTATTAAAACGTACAACCAATTATAGCAAGCATACCATCATTTGTCCCACAAAAAATGGCAATTACTTGTCCAATACAGACCAGGAATTTATAAACCTCGTCTTAACCCAAAGTTAAACAAGACCCCAAAAAGATGTAAACTAAAGATCTAGAACTTAGTAAAGCTGACCAGAATACCTAACACTATTTTACCTGTATTTTCATACCAATTTTGATCATATATTCCTGATCACTAGAACATTGCAAATTTTCAAACAAGGCAACAAGAACAGCACAATAAACAACACAAAATAAGCACCAAATTGCGTAAAAACTGTGATAGCATCTTCAATCTTTGATAAAGAACCTAACTTCCTAATAATCATTGATTAAAACCCAAAGCAAAACATCACATATCATTGCATCAAACTAATTCATACCATGGATTGCAAATTACCATACAGAAAATTCCATAAACAATCAAATAACAACATTTCCAATCAAAAAACAAAGTCCAATGACTTTCTTCTACCAACCACTGCTAAACAAAACCGAACAGTAACATCAAAAATCGTTTCTTTTCAACAAAATTCATACCAATTTTCTAATCTAACCTGCACTTTTGTCCGACGCATCATGATACACCGGCTCCTCCTCCGGCACCGGAAGCAACCCCTCCCCCTCCTCTCCCACATCACCAGAAACGTCACCACCACCATCCTTCTCATCAGGATACCTAACAACCACCACAGGACAAACACAGTGACGCACACAGTAATCACTCACACTCCCAAGCCTTCCCTTCGCATTCCTCCTCGACGCCCCAAATCCTCGGCTACCCATTATCACCGCACTGAGCCCCAACCTCTCCACCTCCAAACACAGCCTCTCCTTCATATCGTGATCCTTCACAATATGAATCTTGAACGGAAATAGAGCTTCAACCAACGGCTGAGACAAATCGTTCGCCTTCGTAGTCGTGAAATTATCGAAATCGTCCTCCAATCTCTGCTGAGACTCTTCGTTTGTGGTGTCGACGGGGACGTCTACGGCGCCCCAATCGGCGCCGTAGAGGACGGAGGTGGGGCGGACGTGGAGGAGGATTACGGCATCGCCGGGACGTAGGTAGTTTTGGACGGCCCATTTGACGGCGTAGGCGCTCTCGTCGCTTAGATCGACAGCGATTGCGATTTTTCTCTGGGCACCGGAGATTGGGGTCCCGGTTGGGAAGCGTGGGGAAGCTGGTTGGTGTAAGATCGCCGACGGAGGGCGCTCAGATTCCGGCGGCTTTTTGGGTGTCAACATGACGACGTAAATAAGTGTTTATGCGATGTTTATTTTTTCGTGAATTTTGATGGGATACTTCTGTGTTTGTGTTGTCTGTGACGGTTCGAGTTTGTCGAGGACTTTGCGTCTGGGAAGAAGAAAGGTGAGGGTGGTGAACAGGTGGGATTATGTTCATCGACTGTTGTATACGGATATGGCCACATTGGCCCGTGACCCGGTGGACAGCCCGAAGGCCCATCAGGCTCATGGACAAATTGACCTAGTAAGTGACTACTCAATGGCCCTATATCTTTCGGACTGGATTCAGTCGCTCTTTCCAATCTGCTTAGCGGAAGACACGAGTGAACAGAAGAAATACAAGTGTATCGATTTGACACGGTTCGTTTGGATACGGTTCGGACTTGACTCGTACTTTTTAGGTTTATTTAAAAAAATAAGATCAATAGACTCGGTTCAAACTTACAAATTTCGACTTAATTATCAATCCTACTCATTAGTCATTACGATGATCTATGCATCCATATAACATACCGTGAGTTCGAGCTCAAGATTCAACTTTTTGAATTGAATGGAAAGATTGAATGAAAAAACTAATTTTTCGGAACCATAAAAATGAAACGGCAAATGAGAGATGAGGTTTGAGGTTTGAGATTTGAGCAACAGTTGTCTTTTATTTATAACCCAAAATCAAACAGCTAGGAAAATGCCAGAAGTTGAAAAAGAAGATAGTGATATGTGGAATTAACTTTTAAAAAAGATAATGATAGTTGGATGGTTTTTAGCTATGACAAAAGAATTCCTTAATAATGGAGGTCTGATCAGGGCCACTGGAGGTGATGTTGACTACTAGAAAATGTATGGTCTCACAGTAACTTGGAAGGAGTACTGAAGTAGCTTCATCAATAAACCTGGACCGTTAAGTAAAGTTTATGTACATAAATGCAGTAACTAAACTACATCACCACTATAGAACCACTTAACTAGTTCACAATCCAGAACTGCTATGGAGAGTGGTCGTTTCCATGACTCGAATGACTGATGAGAGATCACATCTTGTTGATGTGTCGAATGAGTCTTACATTGGTGATGAAGAGGTCTTGGTGCATATAAGAAAATGGGTTACTCCACCTATTAAGCATGTCTTTTTGGTTGAAAATTCATGCTCAATAAGTGGTATCAGAATCATGACCCAAGCCGCATATGAACTCAACTTTTTTGTGCGGGATGAGAGAACGTTGATGGTCATCAATTGTAAACCTCGTTCGAGAGGAAAATTATTGAGGTGTCGAACGAGTCCCACATTAATTAGTGATAAGGGAGTCTTTGAGTATATAAGAGAGCGAATTACTCCACCTACTAGATGCACCTTTTGAACTGAAAGCCCATGCCCAACACAACCTTATCACTGTGTTGAGAGTGAAATGTATGAGCCTTTTTGCAGTTCAATCTAATGAGTGATCAACAAAAAAAAGTTAGAGAAAAATCTTGCCTTGTATTTGGAGTAGCAAAGCAAGCAATAGCCAGGAAAGGGCTTCATGGTCACTCATATGTAGTTTAAGGTTTAAACTCTTGGGAAACTAATATGGTATCACATTCGGTAATTTAATGGAAGTTACGATTCAATAAGGGTATTTTCGATTACATTTTTTTTTAACTGAGTTGATTACGATTCAATCGAGGTTAATTTATAACTAGATCAATCCTATAATATTAGGACTACTTAGGTAAGATACTGAAATAAAAATTGAGGAAAAATTGCACACTTGATTACCAAAGGGATAACTACGAGCAAAACTAGAACAACATGACACCAAAGAACCGTAAAGAAATTCACATAAAGAGCCTACCTAATATACGAGGTTTCCGTTATTGTAGGGTTTGAAGAGGGTTAGATCAAAGAAATTCACGTACTAAAGCAAAACAAGTAGAAGAAATCATGCTGCTCTCAAGGGTGTTGTCTACAGTTCATCTTGGTGAGTACCACTGCCATTAGATTAGAGTTTCCTTGGAAGCTTTCAAGCACAATTTGCCCCATTAATTTTGCAGTTAAAGGCAGCCCAGCACACTTGTTTACAATCTCATCTTTTCCATCTCGATGGGAAACTCTTTTCCATCTCTCTAAACTGAGTCTTTGAATATCTCCTAACAGCTCTCTTTATCATTAAGTGACATTCGATGCAAATTCTCTTCCCCAACCATTTTCTTAGCTATTTCCTCAGACCTGCTTGTGACAATTACTGTTCCACCATACCCTTTTGGTAACCCATAAGCAAGTTTTTCATTCCAATTCTTGTACTAACTCGATCGTGAGTACAAATTTTCATAGCACTTGTCCGGGTTCCAAGCATCATTGAGTACGATTAGGTACCTCTTACCCTTCAATGGTACGCAAAGAGCTAAGAGCGCAGAGCAGCCCGGGTAGGCCATGACTGTCATCGGCTGAGTTAATGACCTCGTCTTCAACCCTGAGACAAACCAACATTCGTCTAATTGTCTCTTTTCTATTGTCACAATCTTCATCGGGCTGTCTCGACATACATACCCAAATCCGAGGAAGGAAGTAGTCCTTCACCGATTCCTTGGCGAGTGTCGACAGAGTGTTGTTTTGCCTATTGCTCCCATTCCAACAATCCCAATAGCCTTGAAAGTCTCATTTCTCTCTCTCTCCCAACAATCAATCTTTTAAGGCTCATTACTTCATCCTCAAGCCCGTGAACCTTTTTCGGGTCTATGTGCCGAGAACTCTATCTGTAAGCTTCTACTTTCCCTGGTAAGCTTGCTTCTCCATTATTTTGCTGACTTACATTCCTCTCTGAATCTCCACTGCCATTTTTGTTATCGAGTTCTCCTTGATCTTCTTTAACTTCTTGTTAACTTTATAAGCAAAACACAATCCCCCAGGAGTGTCCAGGCTCTGCTGCTCTGAAATCATCTGCCATTCGGGCAGTACATTATTCAACTGGTAGAGCTTTTCTCTGTGCTTTGCTTCATGCGAAACTATGGAGGATTTTGCTTTATTTTCAAGCAAGATCTTCAACTTTTCGGAGTGCAGATCAAACAGTTTGGCAGATAGAAAATGTTCAGTGGACTGTGTATCCTTGATGGCCTTCACTGAGTTTCTCCAGTAGGTATTTTTCGATCTCCTCAGCCATTTTCAGCATTCTCTGAGGTCTTCCTTGTCTACCCTCTCAGGTTGTGAAAGAGAAGTTGTTTGGAGGAGATATTCTGGACTTTGGGTTTTGTTCCTGTTGGAAATTTTAGGAAATGGTTGAATGACAAAATTTTCAACAATTTGGATTAGGTCACGAGAGATAATCTCTCGTGAATACTTTAATTTCGATGCAAATAATCTATTTTTGATTGAATTGAAGAAGAGATTAATCAAGGTGTGCGTAATTGACTCGAACACTCTTGATCATTGAACAAAAAAAAGAATGCCAAATTTTTTAAGGGACTTTGCTTTAGATCAGGCCCTTTTGAGTGTACATTAGAGGTGTATTAATCACCATGTCAAAAGTGAAGTGCTTGTTTTTTTCTTCATGGCTTACGTTGTACCCACTTCTATAAGGCAATCCAAATACTTATTATCACCCGCTAAATATATCAGTTAAATCTAGTAGGACATCCAAATTTAAGAGTCAAATTAAAATTAACTCCATACCACAATATTCATTAAATTAAATTGCTTGTTGTAAAGTAATTCATCAAAGATGAAAACCCTTCTTTTAAACTTATCTTCTTGTTTTGATTAGTTTTTCTGTCCATATAATTGGGTTCCCTTTTATTTTTTGACATTTTCAGTGCATCCCATCTTGTTTTTTGGAATTACATATTCGCTTCATAAAATATATTTACCAAAAAGAATCTTCTAAACATTTTTCCAAAAAACCTATCAAAATATCTATCTACCAGATTAATCAAAAAAAATAAAAAAAATAAAAAAATCTACTAACCTTTATTATCATTTTGTATTGATGATAGCTCAATTTTGACTATAACAACAAAAGCATGACGGTCAAATTTTTCACATAAGAGTAAAATATCCTGATTGAAGCGGGGATCCGTTACAAGATATCACATTCTAAGATGTGCAATATAATTCCATAAACAGAAAAGAGTGTAATGAAAATATCATAAACAATAAAGGTTTTCATTGTTTTTATTTGGTCAGAAAGAAAAGTTCTTACTGAAAAAAATGGTCACTGATGATCTTATTGCTCAGCTTTCAAAATCCCTTGACATGGGTACCAGAGAAGAAAGATGGAATTTTAAGGGAAAGACTGCTCTTGTCATAGGTGAAACCAGAGACATTGGGTTTGTATCTCTATCTCTTGCCAATGGAGTATTTTCTAATCAGATTGGTTTTGTGTTCTGCTGGGTCATTTGGGTATTAGATTTTTAGGTATATTGGTTCATTGTTCTGATGGGTTACTTGGGCTTATGTGTGAATTTTTTTGGATATTTTGATATTTAAATGATTGTTCTGATCGGTTATTTGGGTTTTTGAAAGAATTTTTTTTGTGTATTTTGGTTTTTGAAAGATTTTTCTGATGGGTAATTTGGGGTTGTTTGAATTTTAGACAAGTCATTGTGGAGGAACTTGTTGGGTTTGGTGCTGCTGTACATACATGTTCAAGGAATCAGGCAGAGCTTGATGAGAAGTTGAAAGAATGGGCAGCCAAGCTTGATGATACATACATATTTATGCTTAAATCACAATGACAACCTTTATTGTTTGTGATATTTTCATTACATCATTTCTTGTTTATGGAATTATATTGCACATCTTAAGAAGTGATATCTTATAATGGATTTGCCCTTCAATCAGGATATTTTACCCTTACGTGAAAAATTTGACCGTTATGCTTTTGTTGTTTTAGTCAAAATTGGGTTATCATCAATACAAAATGATAATAAATTAGTAGATTTTTTTATTTTTTGCTTAATTTGGCAGATAGAAATTTAGATAGATTTTTGAAAAAATGTTTAAAAGATTCTTTTTGGTAAATATATTTTATGAAGTAAATATGTAATTTCAAAAAAAATGAGGGGATGCACTGAAAATATCAAAAAGTAAAAGGGATGTAGTTGTAATTAGACCACCCCATTTTATGTCCAACCTCATCCTTCCACTAAAAAGGTTAATCGTATTGATGTTTATAGGTGTGTTATATGACTTTTATTTTGCATAAAAACGTTAATTGGTCTGACGTTTTTAAGCTAAACACGTTAGATCAACTAATGTCTAATGACTTAAAAACGTCAAACAAACTGACGTTTTTAAAAATTCATGGTTTGAAAAATACTTTCAAATCAACTATTATTTGGGACTTTTTTTCAAAACCCCTTGGGATGGGGTAAAAGCTCCTCTCCATCTATATTTCATTCTTTTGCAATTACGCTGACAAGTGTTGCAAGTGATCTAGTATTATTATAAAAACATGGTGTATATCTTAGTTGGCCTGATATTTTCAAGAAATATAAATATAAAAATTTAATCCTGAAATTTAGTCAATGGTAATTTTAAAGATAATGTTAAAGAGGGTGTCTCCCAATGCAACACGTGCACTTGCATTTAATGATTCCACGTGAGCAAGACAAGACCAGTCACGTGAGAGAGTATTAATTATATATTAAGTCGGCAGTTTGAAACCAAGCTAATCATGAGCTCCGTGATGAATAAAAGAGGTCGGTCCTCATCATGACCGAACTGTTTCAAATAGTAAATAAAGAACCATGGAGGTGTTTATTACTCAGACATTCTGGCTAAACAAATTGACAAAATTATGGGCTCGACAGGAAAAATTGCTGAGAGATTTCAACAACTTTCCAACTAAAGTCGCCTAATTGGAGGAAGGTGTACCACCTTGAATCGAAAATCATGGAAGCCCTAACTGAACAGAGATCTATAAATGGAACAGGAAGCCAAGGTGAAAGGTATGTTGAACTTTCCTTGTCTTCTTGCAATTGTCTCAGTTTCATTACTGACTTAAGTATCAGAGTGCCTTCGATCGAAGTACCTCGATCTTGGGTAGTTTGTTCGTTTTGCAGGAAGCAGAGCCTGAGAAATCAAGTTCAGAGCTCACTCTTATCAGAGACGTTCATTCTTTATTCTTATAGGAGGTATTCTTAATTTTTACCCCTTACATTTTGGCACCATCTGTGGGAAGATTCTCATCAAGCGAAATGAAAAGCCACAATGTCGAGACTAAGAAGTGCCATCGGATCACTTGTAAGTAGTTTGCCTTGGGAAATTTCGATCCAGACTACAAAGTGTCGCTTCCATCTGATAGCGATGTTAGGTTGCATATGGACAAAAGCCCATATGGACCCCATGAGAATGACAAGGTGTCCTCAATAAGTTTCAAACCATCCAGGCAACGGAACCAGCAAGGTGAAGACTGTGGTGAATCCCTCCATGCCGAGGGGAGGGGGGAACCATTCCTTGGCAAAATTGGTTCAATCCCTATAGGACCACCTTGACGCGCATGACAAGTTGTTCAAGAAATCCTATGCTAGGAAAAAGGATTTGATAAAGGAAAACGATGAATTGAAAGCTAAGCTGAAAGAGATAACTAAGAAAGAGAAAAGTAGCTGGGAAAGCTGACGAAAGAGTCCCGAGAAAAAACGGGGAAGAAGGGAGAGTGCTGAGGATGATAAGGACAAGCAAAAAAAGTCTCAGGGGTCGGAGGAAGATTTCTGGAAGCAATTCATTACTGAAGAACTTAACAATCGTCTAAAGAGACCCGAGCAAAAATTGGCTAGGGACCTGACCAGAAGAGCAACAGGAGAATATGGAGATGGTTCAGAATCCTCACCATTCACACAGTGGATCGAAAGGGGTGAATCTTGAGTAAATTCACAGTCCTGAACGTCAAGTTATATAATGAAAAAATCGATCTATCCTCCCACATCAGACACTACAGGCAGCTTATGACTATTAATCGGAGGAATGAACCGCTGCTCTGCACCATCTTCCCCAGTAGCCTTGGGGAGTCGGCCATAAAGTGGTTCGACAGCTTGCTAAATGGGCCGATAGACGGGTTGTCATAGTTAGCCAAGCAATTCACAGCTCGGTTCATTATGAGCAGTAAACAACCCAAGGATGTTGGGGCTCTACTAACTTTGAAAAAACGAAGTAATGAGACTTTGCGAGAGTACACTCATCGTTACTGGGAGACGATGAATGAAGTTAAAATTTGTAACCCTGAAATTGCGGTAGCATCCTTCAAAATTGGGTTGCCAAAGGATAACCCTTTATACCAATCTCTAATCAGGAGGCCTGTCACAGACCTAGAATAACTGATGGCGAGTATCAAGAAATATGCTAAAATCGATGACGACCTATCTAGAGATGTGGGGAAGGATCATCAAAGTAGAAAGTAATTTATCCATGATAAGCAGATAGAACAGAACAGAGAATTAGGAATGAAGAAAGAACAGGAAGGGTTTCCCCCATAAGTCTCCCTTTATTGGGGTGAATACAGTGTTCAAGGAGCCAATATATAAGATATTGACTCAGATCAAGGGGAAGACATATTTCAAGTGGCCTAATAAGTTGACAGGGGATCCTTAAAAAAGGAATCCTAATTTTAGGTGCTCTTATCATTGAGACGTAGGGCACATGACCAAAAATTATCGATCTTTGAAGCAGCACTTGGAGGGGCTGGTCTAGGCTGGGCATCTTGTTGAGTTCATTGACAATGGTGCTAGAATCGAGGGGGAAAGAACCAACCCATAAGGGAACCAGATCACATCTGCAGGTGTAATACATGTGATTCATGCTACAACGAATCCACAAATGACAACAAACAATGCAGTTAGGGCGTATATCCAGAGAGCCGCAAAAGAAAGAAAAGTTTATCAGTTGCATCTGACCCCAGAGGTTAGGAGCAAAATGATTAAGGTAGAAAAATCAATCGAGGCAATTTG